GGTGGAAGTTAGGAGAATACCAGGTAAACAGCTCTGAGCAGAATGCCTATCTTGGCAACAAACCACTAAAAACAAACAAACAAACAAACAAACAAACAAAAAAAGCCCAAAGTTCTTGCCTATTTTTTCAAGAGATGCTGGAGTGGCATAAACTAAGAGGCACTTTTAAAAAGCTTTTAATTCTAGGAAGAGGCACTTATGGAACTAATGCATTTTTTAAAAGATTTTATTTATTTATTTTTAGAGAGGGGAAGGGAGGGGGAAAGAGAGAGAGAGAATCAATGTGTGGTTGCCTCTCACATGGCCCCCACTGGGGACCTGGCCTACAACCCAGGTATGTGCCCTGACTGTGAATGGAACCTGCGATGCTTTGGTTGCAGCCCGTGCTCAATCCACTGAGCTACACCAGCCAGGGCCAGAACTAATGCATTCTTGCTTAGTCTCATGGAACACTGATGTCGAGAGGTCAGCATTAAGGAGCTGCTGTAAAAGTCTCTTCAAACTGTTGTGCACTGCTGGAGGACATGTGAAAAGGTGAAGTCTCTATGGATAATGGTATGGTAGTTTCTCAAAATATTATACGTGGAATTACCACAGGATGCAGCAATATTATTTCTGGATTTATACCCCAAAGAATCTTGGGTCTTGAAGAGATATCTGCACACCCATGTTCAATGAAGCATGATTCACAAGAGCCAAAAGAGGGAAGCAACACAAATGTCCACCAACAGATGAATAAACAAAACATAGTATGTACATATAATGGTATATTACTCAGCCTTAAAAAGAAAGGAAATTCTGACATATGCTACAATACGGATGAACTTTGAACATGTTATGTTAAATGAAATAAGCCAGCAACAAAAAGATAAATACTGTATATATAATTCCACTTAGATGAGGTACCTATAACTGTCAAATTCATAGGGTCATAAAGTAGAATGATGGTTGCTAGGGGCTGGAGAGAGGGAGAAATAGAGAGTTATTGTTTCATAAGTACAGAGTTTCAGTTTTGCAAGATGAAAAAACATTCTGTGGATGGATGGTGGTGATGGTAGCAAAATAATGTGAATGTACTTAATGCCACTGAACTGTCCTCTTTAAAATGGTAAGTTTTGTGTTACATATATCTAACACAATTTAAAAAAATAAATGATTAAATCTTTCCATCAATTTTCAGAGAAAATTCCTCAATCTTTTTTACTATGTTTTAAAACGTTGGTACTACCTCTGGCTTATCTATTCCCTGATGCATCTAGAAGGCGGAAGGAGTGAACACAAAGCATACGAGCATCAATGAAATACTTTCAAGATTCCCTCGAGTTAGGCTTCATTCGGCAGCCTTGTGAGCACACAAATACTTATGGATGTGATTTTTGTTACACCAGATTTTCTAAAAAAAAAATATATATATATAAATAAATAAATAATAAAAAAAATATATATAATGATGCTTTGGAAAGTAAAAATGCCACTTAAGAAACAAATAAATCCAGTTATACAGTGCCCTTTCACCCACAGTTTAACAATCAATATATCAGGAAAGTTACTTTAATGGCTCTCAGTCATGTGAAGGTCAAAAATTTAATTTAAAGCAAGTTTAATTTCTGTAGGAGAAAAATATCACAAAGACTTTATGATAACTAGGACTGCCTGGAAATGAGCATTTGGGAACAAAGCTATTACAGCATTTCCTATCTTTATACTAATTTAAAGTTTATAATACAACTTCAAGAACATGACTTCATCTATACCTCACAAGCCACTCCATAAGATAGGTTTTAATATTGTGAATTTTGAGGAAGAGAACACACTTTAAGTGATTTGACCAAAATTACCTAGCTTCTAAGTGGCTAGAACCTAGGCCTATACATTCAAATACATTCTTATATTTCCCTAACCCTTATATTTAGCTCTCTAGTGAAAGGCTTTATTGATCTGGGAACTGTCCCAAAGACAAAGAAACATCCACTGTGTGGGGGCCACAGGTCACGGGCCACGAAAAGGAGTGTGTGGAACAGCACAGTCGCAATAGCACTGCGACTCTGCTTCCTCCTCTGGAAAATGAGGTATCACTTGGCATACCTGCTAGCCAGTATGATTTCTAGGATCAAAGGAAATTATATGTGGAAACATTTGAAAAGCATAAAATAAAGTGCTAAGTCATGAAAAGGCATGTTTGTCAGGAGACTTGGATTTCATGATTCTTATTAACAGGCAGGCTGAGTATGGAAGGTAAGCAAGTATGCAAAACAAAACAAACCACTGAAAAAAACCTGACTGGTGCCCAGAGAGGGCTGGGGGTAGTGACAGACTGGTTGCTTGGCAGACTGGACAAGGGGAGGAGGTGGGGGAGACAAACTTGCAGTTTGCTGAGGTACCAGAGACCCTAAACTCTCAGCCCTTTCCTCACTCAAGGCAGTTCAAGTCACTAAGGAAGGATATAGGGACCTTGGATAAAGAAACTATGTAACTGAATGGTGCTATAGGCTGCACATCAAAAAATAAAATAATCAAAGACACAGTGGTAACATACCATGCTTAGCCCAAGTTCTGGGTACATGAAAGGCTGGAGAGGCTGGAGCTGAGCGATCACTCAGTCTAGCTACTATGTTCCTCCTGGGGTTTGGTGGCCACTGACACAGTGGGCTGCGCCTGCGTTTAGACACCCTCCAAGGACGGGTGGGAGGCCTGGCTGGGGCTTGGCAGAGGCACAGATGGAAGGCTGTGAAGCCAGCAGCCTGGTGTTTGGCAGTTGGGGACAGAAATGGAGAGTAGTGGAGCCAACAAAAGCCTCTCAGACTCAGGTTTTACTTCATTCACCTGATCTGCAAATATTCATTGAGTACCGACTCTCCCTGGCAGTGTTCTCAATACTGGCGATATAGTGATGAATAAAGACAGCAATGTCCCTCCCTCAGGACACTGACGTTTTTGTGAATAAAGTCAACGAACAAATGAAAACAGACGATGCTGATAAATACAATGAAGAAAAAAAGCCAGGGGGGTGTGCCTGAGACTGCCCGTGAGACCAAAGATAGGCCTTTCTGAGAAGAGAGTATTTAAACTGAGACCTCAGTGTCAATGACAGAAGGAACAGGGTGGGAGGAAAAGCTTTCCAGGCAGACCACCAGGAAGTGCAAAGGTCCTGAGGTGGGAACAAGCTAGGTCTACCAAAGGAAAAGCTGAGGGGGAGAACGCTGTGTACTGAGGTTAAAGGAGTTGCCAGGGCCAGATTAGTCAGGGCCTTGAAGGTTATGATAATACATCTGGATTTTTCACTCAGTGATATGGGGATTCACTGGAGTACAAAGAAGTGATATGTCTGATTTGTTTTCAACAGGTGAGTCTGGTCTGATAGATCAAAAAACAAATAAGACACACCTGGAATTAGCAATTAGAATGTTCCATTTTAATAGAATTTCCATTAAAACCCAAGAAGGGGTCATGGCTTAAAGTTATTAAAATGCATACCAGTAGCACTTTGACAGGAGTCCACCAGAATGAGAGAAATATGGAGACTCAGGAGACAGAAAAGGTAATATGGAAGGCAAGGATAGCCACCAGCTGGCTCTAGTGGCCCCCAGGCTCAGCTTCACAACCCTTCACAACTTATCTCTATCACCTGGAGCTGGTATCCTGCGCCACCTGGTGCACGTGCCTGGCCCCTCACCCTTAATCCAGAGGGCTCCTGTGACAGCTGCAGAGGACAGCTACTTGCCTGTGGACCTTCATCCTCTGGCATGTGCCAAGAGGCCAGCCTTCCAGCCTCCACAGCCCCTGGGCTATCTAGGCAAGAGCAATGCAAGAACCTGAAGGGGTGTCAAAGGAAGAATGCCTCGATAATCCCCTTTTCTCATCTGATCTTGAAACTGCCGCGACAGGGACAAAACAGAGGTCAGTGGGACCCAGCTTGAGTTTGTAGCCCATACCTTTCCAGCCTTCTGCTTGAAACTGGCCTGTCTACTGAGAGATTTGATCACTTTCTTCTCTTTTCTTTAACAACCCTTTCCATAAAGGATCATTCCTCAGCAGTTTTAGATATTTTTAACCTACATCCAGGTATGTTACACAATATGACCTGATCAAGGCAAGTTTATGCTTCCTCTTGAGAAGGGTCAACAAATTCCCTAAAGAAATAAAAACTGTCTTGGTATCAAAAGTACAGTCTGTCTTAGTAGGAAGAAGTATGAATAGCACAATCATTTCCCATCTTGGGGTAATCAATCAAATACCTTTAACATTTTGGTTAAAGGAAAATCCAAGCAGATCCCATCAGTTTAAAACCAGGAATCAGTGGGCGTGAAAATGGGAGAAAAGGAGAACTATCAGAAGCAAAATGACCACCAAGTACTTCTAAGGAGCTGGCACTATATCTTTTTCACAGAGACTAATTAATAGAGATGAGAAAAGTGTCTTCTCTTCCTTACATCACATTTCTCCCCCCAAAAGGATGGAGAGGACAGCAGGAAAAGAAATCTTTGGCATTCAGAAACTCCAAATGGAAAGCAGTAAATTATGTTTCAAGAACTATTTCAATCAGAACACACTAACTGTTTCTTACCTTGTTGGACTGCTTACATACAAACCAGGGTATGGCAGACCTAAAGGGATGTTCAAATCCATGCAGTCCAACTTGATGAAGAGTCAAGACGGAGAGGTTTTCAGGTAGTGAAAGAGCCAGGAAGGGAACCCAGGTCTCCTCACTCATATTTCCTAACAACTTTCATTATGCATTTTTATATTATTAAAATAAAAGCACATTATAGGAAAAATGGAAACTGGACAGGAAGTCACCCATTATCTAATCATCATACTGGGACCACTATCTGCATTTTGTTCCTTCTATCACATGCTTACAGTTCTCCCCCCATACTGTTATAACCATATTGGACTAATACAAAAGTCATATCCTTTTCATGGAGTGTTTCAAACAACTCTCAAGAGGCCCTGGAAATAGCATCAAGCTGGTCAACCTTACATCAGTTCTGTTTACCTACCTGGTGCGTCAGGTACTTGAAGAGGAATGAAAGGATCAGATACACTTAGAAGTGGGAGACTAGAATCCACAGTCTGCCCACCCTTCTTTTTTTCAGCTAAAGTTGGTTGGAGGGCAAGGACGGGTCAAGGAGAGAAAAGAAAGGGAGAGAGAGAGGGGAAAAAAGCAGAAAATATCAAGTAAATCTAGATGAATTTACCATCTGTTAATCCAACAGCTCAAATTACAGAACAAGTCTAAACTCAGAGATAGAATGAAGAGGGATGAGTGGATATAAACCAGTATAAAGGCAAAGTATTACGAGATGTATAATCTGGTGCTTGCACAGACTTCAAGATGCAATAAATAATAAAACTAGGATATTCATACATCTGAGATTCTACTTCTTCCTTATGTGGAGGCCCATGGTGATCTCTTTCAGAATTCTTATAGCAATTACTGTCCGCATTACACATTTTGGCATGTAAACAAACATTGCCTATTTTGTAATCTAGCACACACATAGGTACTTCCTATGTACCCAATATTCTCTTGAGCTTACAGTATCACCAAATGTCTAATATAGTACTAGGGAGACACAGAGGAAAAGACAAATAGTTTTGTTGCCTTCTGCAAGGTTAGACAGCCCTTAATCCCTGGGCTACATCTAACATACTATTAGCACTCATTCTATATTTGGTAAATTTACAGATTTACACACATCTATGTACCCTATGGCATATCACAGTTTGAAGGGATTTTAAGATCTTCTAAGCACAATTTTCTTATTTTTCAGAAAAGAACATAAAGCCTAAAAGTTAAGAGATTAGCCAAAGGCCCACAAGCAGACTCAGGATCAAAACCCAGGTTTCCTTGTTTTTACTTTACAAGGCTCAACAAATTTGATTTGATTTGACTTATTCAACAAATTCTTTATATTATATTTTAATATTCACTTTGTTCATTAAGTAAAATCATTTTGCCTTCTATAAAGTAGATTTTAAAAATACTTTTTATTCAGCCCTGGCTGGTGTGGCTCAGTGGATTGAATGCTGGCTTGCAAATCAAAGGGTCGCCAGTTCAATTCCCAGTCAGGGCACATGTCTGGGTTTCGGGCCAGGTCCCCAGTTGGGGTGCAAAAGGCAACCACACATTGCTGTTTCTCTCCCTCTCTTTCTCCCTCCCTTCCCCTCTCTAAAAATAAATAAAAGAATTTAAAAATACTTTTTATTTTCAAATAATTATGAAATCACCGGAAGTTGCTATACACTGAATCCTGTGAACCCTTCAAATAGCTTCCCTCCACGGTGAGATCTCCTACAACTGTAGTACAATAGCACTGACCTGGAGTATTGATGTTAACTGGACTTTCCCCAGTGCTTACATGCACTCAGCTGTCTGTGTGTGTATGTAATTGCTTGCAGTTGGACGCCATATACAGACTAGCATAAGCACCACCATAGCAACACAGAGACTTTCTCTCAAATAGAAGAGCACCCTTGTTGTGATCCTCTAGAGCCACACCCACTCCTAATTCCTGTCCCTATCCCTTGGAATCCACAAATCTGATCTCAACCTCTGTAAGTCTGTCACTTAGAGAATGTTATTAAAGTGTGTGTGTTTTTTTTTTTCACTAAGCTTCCTTAAAGGAAGATGAAGGAAAAGGAAGGTAAAATCACTGCTTTCAAGTCTCTGAAATATTTTTAAATGAGACAATGAAATATATTTTAAAAAGAAAACAAATTATAAAACTAAATATACATTATAATTCATTTTTGGAAAAAAGTATATATGCATAAATAAAATTATGGACATAAATATTGTAAAATGTCAGCAATGCTTTCCTCTTGAAGTGGGGCCACGAGTTCTTTTATCTTGCTTCTTTCAGCTTTTAGTCATTTTTCCAAATTTCACAAATGAATGTTTATAATTTCGCAACAGGAAAACATTTTAAATAAAGAGGCACAATGTCAACTCTTAAACATCTATCTCTTATATATGGACACAGTTCACCAACATTTTTGCAGCTTTTGCCATAAAAATGTTTAAAACAACCTTTGTGCCACCCTCCCCAGCTCATTCTCAAATTTCCTGATTATTCCTCCCTTCGTCAGTCAGAAGGTTTAAATCGGGTAACAGTCTGAGCTTGATCAGAAAACTTGTAGAAAATGGTACTATGCTATACCTCATATGAATGAAGATACATTAATTTTTAGGATTTATGTATAATTTTCTTTCATTTGGAAAGTGTCATAAAAAAAATTCACTCCACAAACAAAAAAGAAGGCAAAATACCAAATATTCATAAAAAAGGCTGAATAAAATGAGGAAAATGCAAAGAAGATTTTATAATGTTTGGAAAAGCTTAGTGTCACTGATTTACAAGATTCTTGAGATGTGGTTACTACTACAGCTTCTGAGCTGGGCTGCCCAGGTATAAATCTCTGTTCTGTCATTCTGCAGCTGTAGCTTTGGGCAGCTCACTTAACCTTTTGTTAAGTGAGTAAACAACGTGTGGCTGTTGTGAGGATCACCTGAGATAATGTGAAGAAAAAAAAAAAGCATTTCTCCAGTGGGTCTAGCATATAGTATGTTTTTACTATATGCTTGCTGTATTAATGTAATAACTTTACTCACATATGTGTTTTTATGGCTGGACCTTTAAGTCCCTTAAAAAAAAATACTGCCATTTACAGATTACAAAGTAAGCACAACGGGGAAGAAGAGGCAAAAGCAAAAACAGCTAAAACAAAAACAAAGTTTATGCAGATAAATAAATAATAAAACATAACCATGCATGCCAAGAGTTAGGCATGAAAACTGGGAGTAGATGGAAAATGATTAGGGACCTCTCTTTGTCTTTAACAATGGTGATTCTAGCCACTGACTGGCGTGGCTCAGCTGGTTAAGCATTGTTCTGCAAGGCAGAAGATCACGGATTCAACTCCCAGTCAGGGCCTGTGCCTGGCTTGCATGCCTAGTCTCTAGTTGGGGCACTAGGGAGAGGCAACTGATCAATGTTCTCTCTCTCACACATTGATGTTTCCTTCTCTCTCCTTTTCCCTTCCTACTGCTCTCTCTAAAACTAAAGACATCAAATCTTTAAACAAATGGTGAATCCATGCTTCTATCTTTTGGCAAAAAGCAACCCCTTTGATTTATTCAACAAATCTGTGCTAAGCCAAACACTGTACACTAAATGCTGGGATTTAGCAACAAAGGAGACTCTTCTAGAGTTATTTCTATGACCCCCTTTCCGAGGAAGCTTTATCCTACCCAGTAGGTCATCATTCTACCTCAAGGACAATAGTCCATGCTTTCTTTATAAATTTGGTTCATTTAGTCAATTATTAGCATATCAAACTTTAAGCACTTTAAACCAGACCAAAATATCAATAAATTAAAATATTATATAAGCCAGACAATAAAAAATAACACAGAAAAAATTAACTATTTAATTTTATTTTTTAATTTTTTTTACTCTTATAGATTTTATTTATTTATCTTTAGAGAGAGGGGAGGGAGAGAAAAAGAGAAGGAGAGAAACATCAACGTGTGGCTGCCTCTCACCTAGCTCCCACTGGGGACCTGGCTCACAACCCAGGCCTGTGCCCTGACTGGGAATTGAACCAGCGACCCTCTGGTTCGAAGGCTGGTGCTCAACCCACTGAGCCACACCAGCCAGAGCTAGTCTTCATTTTTTTTTTCCTTACAAGGGAAACACACACTTGTTGAAAGCAATCCCAAAGGCATGGTACTCCTCAAAGATTTGGGTGGGGTGGACATTTAATAAAGGGAGATGGGAAAAAGAGAATACTGGAATATATGTGAAACATTTATTCCTGGAGGTTTAATTAACCTTCCTCTCCACTCTCATGCTGGCTGAAAATCACTGTTACATTGGGAAAAAAATTCTAAGTACTTTCATTATTTTAAAAAAAGAATTTAAAAAAAGTTTACTATGTGTTCCTCCTGATATTGACAAAGCAAACCTAAGAAAAACAGGGAACTATAGTCAAGAAGATAAAGGCAAAAGTTCTTTGAAAGATATTAAAACAGCAAATCTCTACATAGAGTTATTAAGAGAAACACAAATACATACAAATAAAATAGATATATAAAGAAAATATTATAATTCTATTTTATTAAAAATTATAAAACTACAGATAATTTTCTAGGAAAATATCACGAAATTTGCCTCATTCATTGGCAGAAAATCTGAGGGAGGGAGTTTTGCTAGAGAAGTGGTGCCCGAGCTCCACCACTCACTAGCTGTGCAATCCTGGAAAGAGACAAGTCTGTGCTTACTCAGCACAACTGCAACTGATGCGAGGGTGATCCACCAACCTCAGCATTGCTGAGAGGGTCAAATGAGATAATACTCTTATAGGATAAATGACAAACTAGGGAAAATATTCACAATATATGATAGATGAGCTTCTACTAATTTACAAGAACAAAATGACCACAAAACATTTAAAAATGTGAGAGATACGAACAATACAAATCCCAAAATAAATACAAATGGCCAGTAAACAATGTCCTTTGTCTATAATCTCTGAGCTGAGCTGGGTGAGAAAAGGAAGGAAAACTACCAACACTCACTATTTTTTTAAGAAAGATTTATTTATTTATTTTTAGAGAGGGAAGGGAAGGAGAAAGAGAGAGAGAGAGAGAAACATCAATATGCGGTTGCTGGGGGCCATGGCCTGCAACCCAGGCATGTACCCTGGCTGGGAATCAAACCTGCGATGCTTTGGTTCACAGCCCAAGCTCAATCCACTGAGCTACGCCAGCCAGGGCAACATTCACTATTTAAAAAAAAAAAATCCTTACTGGAGAATATATTTATTGATTTTAGACAGAGAGGAAGGGAGAGAATGAGAGGGAGAAACATTCATGTGAGAAACATTGATTGGTTGCCTCCTGTAAGCACCCCAACTGGTGATTGAACCCATAACCTAGGTATGTGCCCTGACTAAGGGGTTGAACCCACAACCTTTTGGTGGGATGATGCTCAATCAGCTGAGCCAGCCACCCAGCCAGGGCTTATCATTCATTATTGATTGAAATAAAATTTGCATAGGATTCTTGAAGGGCAATTTAGAAATATGTACCAAAAGCCTTAAAATATAATATCTTTTGATTTATCAAATAATGTCCTAGAAATTATGTTAAAGAAATTGTTAAAGTATATAAACAAAAATCTAGCTTCAATAATGTTTATCTGGTGAAAAATTAGTGATAACCTAAATATTCATCAAAAGAAATATTAATTCTAATGTTACTATTCTTCTATAAAGAATCATGTTGTAGATAAGTATTTATTGACATAGAAAGCCACAAATTCCCATAGAATGTTTGCAAAATGAATAACAAACTAGATGACAGAAAGTCCCTCCATAATACCTCATAGCAAAAGCTGCATTCACTGTATTATCACAATGCAGTTAAAATTTATGTGAAATAACTCTTTGGTAAAGAAGAAATCGAAACTGCAATTTAAAAACATCCATAAAATGAGAATGAATATGAGAATATTACATATCAAATATTATGGAATGACAGCCAAAGTTCTAATCAGAAATAAATTTATGATGTTAGAAAAACTAGTGACATACCTAAAGAAAGCAAGAAGAATATATAAAGTTAAAAGCAGAAATTAATCAATATAACTTAAAAGAGCAATTTTAGAAGTATATCAAATTCTGTTTCCTAAAAATATATTCAAAACCTCATACCAATTGCTGAGGAATTTACATCAGTAAAACACTAAGATCAAATTAATGTTTAAAAAGAGGTACTTAGTTAAGATACTTTCTTTCCCGGTAAGCATGTACACACACAAAAAACCCCCACAGCTTAGCAGTCTCAATGTAGGATAGAACATCTAATGGTGAGAATTTTTCAAGTCATCTCAAAGAACCTATGCAATTACAAGAGATTAACAATGTGATGTTCCTCAAATTTAGAAATATCTGCTTAAAACATGTCCATGGACTAGATAGAACAAATCTTATATTTTTCTGCCCGATCATCCTGTTACATTAATTGACAATGATTCTAGGCCTTTTTTAATCCCTATCTTTTTTTAGTTAGAAATCTTCTGAATAAAGGAAAATATGTTACCACAAGGATTTGAGGCTCAGTGGCGTGCTGGAGTTGTCTGTGAAGTGGAAAACAGTGAGTTTGTGTTTCAGGTGTTCCATACTAACCGGTTCCAGCAGAAAATGAGGAAGCGGCAAAAGCATCACTTTGGGTTGGTTGAAAGCCTGGGATCAAACTCTCAGCTGAGCCTCCAAGTTTCTCAGGATGTTTGCCTGGAAGAACGAAACATCACTCAGTTCATTCCAGCAGAATCCCAGGACAACCCCCCAGGGCACTTTCTGAACTGACTTTTAGACATGACTCCTTTCTCACTGCATTATGGTGACACCTCAGTCATTCAGAAGTCTTTGAGGAGTCACTGCAGCAACTGAGAGAACAGCTGAGAAATAAAGGTTTTCAGAATCAAAGAGAGAGCACATCAGTTTTTTGAGAGGCAAAGAGTTCTGAACATCGGCTGAACCACAATAAACTATACACTTAAAAATGATTAAGATGGTAACTTCTATGTTATGTGTATTTTACCAAACTAAAAAATAAATAACAGCAAAAGAGGTGGCTAAAGCAAAGCCCCAAAGCTGAAGCACATTACTCAGAGCAGAATGCCTCCAGCCCTCACTCAGTCTATTTATTGCTACATAATGAGTCTGATCATCTGTTTTCCATGTTAGAAGCAATTTAGGAGAGCAAATGAGAAGAGGGAGTGGTGGTGATGGCAGTAGTGAGAGGTTGTGAGGGAGAGGCACACTGACAGCCGCTTAATGTGAAAGCCAACAACTGAACAAGAGAGGCAGAAAATCATTAAAAATAGACACGACGATTAAAAAAGCTTGGGCAGGTCACTTAATTGAGTACAAAAATACTACAGTTTTCACTAGCCCTAAAGGTATTTCTTTTATAAACTAGACAGCAACTGGCACATATAATAATGAAATAATTTGGTGAGTCATTGAAGAAAATTAAATCCTATGCCTTATCTTCTGTTTGAAAAGTCAAGAAAGCAATACAAAATTTTAAAAGACACCTATAAAATAATAGTTAAAGCTAAAATGTTTGCCCAAAATTCTCTCAGTTCTGATCATTCCTTTAACCTGCATTCTTGTCTACACGAAGATACTTTTCTTTTTTTAAAAAAGATTTTATTTACTCATTTTTAGAAAGTGTGGAAAGGAGAAAGAAAGAGAGGTAGAGAAATATCAGTGTGTGAGAGAAACACTGATGGGTTGCCTCTTGGCCTGCAGCCCAGGCATGTGCCCTGACCAGGAATCAAACCAACGACTCTTTGGCTCACAGGCCAGCACTCAATTCATTGAGCCACACCAGGCAGGGCTGAGAAACTTTCAAATTGTATCATATTGTAGAATTTTCCCAGAATCTGTGTTGTTGTTTTCCAAAGTATGTGTGTGTCTCCTGTCTTCCAAATTAGACTGTGGGTTTGCAGGTAGAAATGGTATCTATTTATTTGATCTCCTCAACAGTAATATATTAAATAGAACTCTGAACATAGTCTAGCACTCAAGAGGCAATCACACATTGATGCTTCTCTCCTCTCTCTCCCTTCCCCTGTCTAAAAGTAAGTAAATAAAATCTTTAAAAGATAAATAAGTACATAATTTTTGAAAAATCAAATCCACGAGGGACCCATATTTTTATGTGTCCTATAAAAAATCCTATATTTTCACCTGCATGTCCCTCTGGAGTTAAGGTTCAAGGCTCACAAAGACTCTAATCACTCACCTTCCCCAAGTTTGGCAAAGTCCTTGTTTAGCAGTTCTTCAGCTGTGAGTTTGGAGAAATTGTCATCATCAAAGGGATTCCACGTAGAACCTTCTGAAGGATTATAAACATTTTGCTGGGAGGTCCGAGGAGAGCCTGATGGAGTGGTGGTTGCAGACCTAGGTAGGTTCCCACCCCCACGAAATAAAAAAACATGTAAAAGTTGAAAAGGGTCAACCTATTTTATCTTTGTTTCAAGATCAAATTCTCTTCTGAATCAAACCATTATTTTCCACAGTGGTTTTCTAAAAGGGCTTTCTGCAGCAACTGGAAAGTTTCCACAGACCCCCTGCCACTGTATAAAATAAATGTCTCCATTTCCGTCATGATTCACTCTCTCCCTCTACTTTAATCTCTTGCTTAGATTTTCTGGCCTTGTCTTCAAGTCCTTTCAATTCAAGATCTCAAAGCAACCTATTCTTAGGCTTGTACATCTTATTGTGCCCACTGTAACTCACAATAACAGACCCAGAGGGCTGGGACGGATGCCTGTTCAAGCTGCCTCCCATCTGTCGGATCTAGCATGCACAAAACTAAGAGCCACCATCAGTGGTCACCACCACAGTTAGAGAAATAAAGACAGTTACCACTATCTCGTGCTTCTAAGTATCATCACCTACTTTTATTCTAAGTCTCTCTTGATGCCCTTTCCAATTTAGCTAATGAGTTAAACATTTTTAACTTTAGAGTGTATAGTTCCAAGAAAGCTGAGGGCCTGAAATTTCATTTACTCCACAATCACTCACTGCAATTTACTTTGGTTCAGGCACAGAGCCAGTCACTAGATTTACAGAGGTTGACTGAGATATAATCCTTGTCTTGGAGGAACTCTAAGGCTAGGTCAGCTAGACATATTCATATAGACATACACATAAATAATGATAATGCAATGTGATACATGCACAACAAAATTATAAATGACACCAGAGGAAGGGTCAAAGAAAAGGTAACCTCTGGCATGGATCTAGATGAATAAATAAGCATTTCCTTGGTGGACAAGGAGGACAGTGCAATTAAGGGAGATGGCATAGGAAGAAAAAAGCACTCGTGAAGCTGGAAAATGACAAGTCCACTGATGCCGTCCAATAGGCTTTGGTCTGTTAGCCAATGAGTATGGGTATTATCCCACAGGCTATGGGGAGCCAATGATTTTCAGCATGAAAACTTGGTCAGATCAAGAATTTAGAAAGTACTCTGTAACGCATGGAATAGAAAAGCATGGAATGAAAAAATGGAAACAGTGAGGCAAGTAGGAAATTATTTCTTAAGATAGTATGGTTTACACATTATAGGAAAGTTCAGTTTCTTATTAAACACAAAAGCACAGACACAAATTGCATATACATCTACACAAATCTACATACATATGCAAAGAATCACACAGCAACAGCCAACGGCAGACTTTGCCCACAAAGACAGAAGAACAAAGGAGAAGGATCACATACTTGGACTTATTGAGACTGGCCTCAGCTGCAGCTGCCTGGAGCAGCTGGGTTGATTTGCTGGCAGGGACCCCAAAGACTGCACTGTGGGTCACATCACTGAGAATCCGCCTGTGTCCAGCACGCTGGGTCTTGGGGGACGATGGAGGAGTGAGAGATCCAAGTTTCTGTCCTTGGACGGCAGGAGGCGGGGTTGTCTGAACTGTTGGCTGTTGTCTTACTGAGGCTTGAATCTGCTGGGAAGAGAGATGGAAAATGTTCTAAAACAAAGGCAAAAGGAAAAACAAATAGATAAACATAACCAAAATGCCACATGAGAGCTAAAATAGAACTCAAATGGCTGAGTTTTTCAATAAAACCCAGAAAGAAAAAACAAAAACCAAAAAACTAGGCCTTGACAACCTACCCTGTAAGTTCGGGACTGATACCAACATGGTATTTATCTGGTACTTACACGTATGAAGAGGGACTCCCAAAGAACTCTGGAATTTATTTGTAAAAAATGGTGTATTTATTCTTACATGTTTAAACTTCAATCACCTTCAAAGTTCTCTCCATTTGATGCAATACACCTATCAAGGCATTTTCCAACTGCTCAAAACAGTTTCTGAACTTGTCAATTTTGATGCCTTTTAGTGTTTCTGACTTTTGTTTTCCCTCTTCCACATTGTAAAAACTTTTCCCTTTGAGGATTTTTTTCATCCAGAGAAACAAAAAGAAAGTTGATCTGGGTGAGACTGGGTGAATAGGGATGGTGGGCACAGGGGTCATGCTGTTTTTGGTCAAAAACTGCTAAACACTCAGTGCTTATATTAAGCACTTACTAATAACATATTAATTAAGTGGCCATAAATATCTATGGCATACGGCCATGTTCCTTTGCAGATTACTGCTCTAAGACGGCTGTAGTGTATACTTTACATTCACTCACTTGCTTCTCTAGACAAGTCCTGCCAAGGGTCATTGGAGAAAAAGACGGTCAGAAGTGGGAAGCTCTCTGGCCCCTGGCACAAGCATGCTCTGCTCCAGTTCCCTCTCCATCCTATTAACCAACTACCACTCATCAAAGTGCTCAAAGCATTTTTCATCCAAGGAACATGGAGAAGATACATCATTCATTCCCAAGAGAATGGGTACTTTTGTCCAGGGATAGTGGAAAGAACTTCATGAGAAGTGTGGTCAGTGGCAGTCGATCATGTCATCCCCCTGGATGGACACCTGTTATTACTGTCATCCTGAACACAGATCAGGATTCTTTGTGCTTGTCCCTGCTCTGCTGCTATCAGGTAATGACCTTCCAGGCTGGGACTCAGTTTCCAGGTCCATAAAATGAGGGGACTGGACTAGATAATTAAGATCTCAACTAGCTACATCATACAATAATTTCTTAAAGACTCTTTTTCACTTAACAAGAGGAACTTCATCTCTTGTTAAAAACACAGAGAGTAGCTCTACCTCATGCCTGCTGGAAGACTGAGTTATTTCAGAAACCAAGCTGTAAAGACATTGAACACACACTTAGCTAAGATGTAAAGAAGACAATCTATTTACAGCACTGCTTTCTTTTGAAGGATTGTAGGTTTTCTGGTTTGTGATGGGCAACAAAACTCTACTAGAAATCAATCCTCAAAAGGATGGTTTCCTACTTTTCCTTTGTTGGTCTAGTAGTTGGACTTTGCTGGGAATAAGACAGTAGCTGTGATACTCTATTGGGTGAGCATGGAAAATGTTTTTATCTATCACTATCACTCGGAAAACTGTGAGACAGAATTAAGGCCAAAGCAAAATAAACCCAAAGATGATGAAATAGTTGAGGTTAGTTAGAAGAGAATGGAGAGGGATTCTGATGCTATACTCAGTCATTATCTAAAAGTGGATACGCCCAATTTCTAAACTGACAAGATGGCTCAAACAATACCTGGATACTCTAGTGTCCAGCAGGATTAGGCCAAGGCAAATGGTCCCAGGCAAGCAGGCCCTCTGGAAGGGTGCTGCATGGTATACTTAATTGAGGTAACCAGTAATGTCATCCAAGACAAAGAGTAAATGCAGCACTGTTAGGACTCAGGATAAATGTGGGGGCTCACATGAATCTCCAAAGATAGAAAGGCTACAATGGTCAAACTGGGCCCTAAAGAAAGGAAAGGGATTAATTTTGATCCTATCCTAGGTCCTTGACTGCTCAACACAAGAGACACTCAACAGCTCTTTCCACCATCTTAATTTCAAAGCAATAAATAAAAATGTTCATCTTTATCAGTAGCCCAGAATCATTTTTTTAGAAACCTCTACCATCTACAGAATACTTCATCCTGTTCTTGGACATATCAATTAAAGATTGAATATTTTAACCTGAGCCTAGCCCTAGTCCAGAGGCCACAACACCAGCTCCTTCTTACCACAGGCTCCTGGGCAGGGGTCGGCTGTGAGCCTGAGGCCGGCTGTGCCTGGGGCTGCTGTACTGCTGCCACTGCGGGCTTCTGCTGCAAGGCAGCCTGCTGAGTCAGTAGCTGCTGCTGATGCAGGGTTGTGACCAGCGGCTGTTGCTGCTGCTGCTGCTGCTGCTGCTGCTGCTGCTGGTAGAAGTTCTGCATCAGCTGCTGTTGAGAGCTTCCTTGGGGCACCACAGGGAACTGGGCAGCTGCTGGCTGCTGGGTTGTTGGGTGTACTGCCTGAAACTGAGCAGGAGGAAAGGGCAAGAAATGGGGAGGTGAATAAAAACCTGTCTCAGAATAATATTCTGAATGTCTCAGTAACAACTAAACCAGTGCTGAAGCCAAAGACATAGTAAGGCAGAAATCTTTTAGCTTGGCCTGAAACTCATGAGGAGAACCTGAGGGCATTAAAACAAACACAGTGGCACCTTACACTGCCAGGCCCCATCCACTGCACTATGCTGCCTCTTGTAATGGGCTGGCCTCCAGGTGGGTTTCTGTGCCTCGCCTGAAGGTGTCCATCTTACTACCCAACTGTGATTCCATATGCTGGAGTGTACCAGAAGCTAATAAATGATCTCCCAATCACAGAAGTAATTCCTTTTATAGAGGGATTTTGGCAGTAGCCAAGATTAAAATTCTTCCCTAAAAGAACAGGATGAAGCAATGATAACACTGAAAAGAATAACCTAAATGTTAACCCAGCTATGAAAGTCATCTCTTTCTGAAAATTATTTCTCAATAGCTCTATCTTTATTAACTCTCCATCTTTAAATATTCAAAATATTCATATTACTACACTTAATGACATTTTATTTTATTTTAGTAATGAATTGTCTCAATTATATTCTCTTGTGAACATCTGAAAAATAGGGAAACTTCTTTTATGTCTTTCTACTCCTCACTCAGGACTATGTGCTAGGCACACAAATAGAGCTCAAACAAGGGCCTACTGATGGACAAAACTCAAGATGTTGTCTTTGAACATCCTAAATAGTGTTACTTCGTTACAGAGCTAACTGAGAGTATGCTGTTTGCCCACTGGAGTAAAATTTAAAGGGTTAGCAGAGAAGCAGATGTCAGTAAATAGCTGCCTATTTGAGACTGTAAAAAGCTGGAATCAACCAAATGTCTATCAACAGGGGACTGATTGAATAAACTATCCTATATATCTTTAGAAGGGAACACTCTCTGTTGTATGAGGACTACTTCTAGATATGGGATGGAGGGGATAGAATTTTCCAGATTTAACTTTGAAACTATATAAATATTTTACATGTTCACAAAACAAAATTGAACCAAAATTTAAGAAGTAATAACTAAAAATCAAAAGCAAAATGAAACAAAGAAATCTGTGGGTCAAATTAATAGCCAAACTCCCCAGAAAATGTGCTAAACATTCTAAGAGCAAAAAGGGCAAAGAATTCTTTAACTATTTTTGGTAATCCTACTAGTATTCAAGTATTGAATAGGATTTGGTAATCCTATAGTTTCAAGTACTGTTATCTTGAAACTATAAGTCAATTAAGTAATTAAGTTAATGTTATTAGGAATCAAGATTTCCAGGTTAGAAAAATACAAATATAATATCAAAGAAGTTAAACAAAAATCCTATAATTATACATCTGAATTTGGAATATAAATTTGAATTTATGGCATATATTCTATTAACAAAACAAAATATATTTGCTAACTACTGTCCACTGAAAAAGTCTAAAAACAATAACCAACCCATCAGCAAATGAGTATCCCTAGCACCAAGACTGTGGTCTCTAAATACCATTTCCATGAAAAGGCAACAAAGCTCCTTAGAGAAATGGCCGATTCCAGGTTAAGGGCAGAATAATGAGCCTGGGACAGCTTGTTACATTGAATAGCCAAGAAACCACAAAGACTACTGGAGCTGCAACCAAAGGACCCAGGAGCCAATTTGAAGACACTTTCACTGGACAAAGCTGGGATGACTTCAGCAATAAAATAAATAATATTTTTGAAACTATAATGTATGGAAACATATAAAATATATTAAGATCTACAAGTTCATAGTGAAACTAAAACAAAAACCTCATTGTTCACCTTTGGATGATACTAGGAACAAACTCATTTTGAACCTGGTAAACAGGGAAAAAGAATCGTACATTGTTTCCCTGCCTTTTCTGCACAAGTATTACCTCAGGGTAATCAAACAGCTGATGAAAAAAGTTCTTCATAGATAAATCCAGCCCCTAAATATAAAGGAAATGCTAGAATATTGCCATTTTGCCATCCCTAATGAATTAATGGATTTAGGAAATGATCAGCAATGACGGCTAAGCTGATGAGGTACATCAAATAGATGTAGCAGATGGACAACAACAAACCCACTGACTGATCATAACAGTATGAGATGAGAGGACAACCAGACATTAGAGGCCCCTAATGTGATATAACCAGAGAAACAAAGAACAATCAAACTAAGTGGAATATTGAGCAAGCCTCAGGAAATTAGTAGTTTACATAAGGGATGGAGAAACATATTAGACATCATTACAGGGATGTCATTAGCCAAATCCAGAATGTGGAAAATTCTACAGGACAAGTGACCCAGCTTAAAAAAAAAAAAAAGGGCAGGGGAAAGAGAGAGGGGGTACTTATGGTTAAAAGGGGACTTTAAAAGGTATTTTAATGATTATAAAATAAATGTGTTCAAAGTAAAAAAGTGAAAATAATATGAAAAGATAATGAAAGAAAAAAACAGCTAAATACAATTGGTGGGCTTTGTTCGGATCCTGATTCAAACAAGCCAACTTACATTTTGAGACATGAGAAAGGGTTAAAACTACTGGATATTTGGTTAGAAATTATTGTTATTTTGTGTTGTGTTGTAATTATGTCATGAAAAAAAGTCCTTAAAAATTAGCTCCCTTTATGAGGTTCCTCAGTCAGGTGAAAAATTCTCCATGGCCTGGGAAGAAAGGTGAAAGGGGCGAGTGATCCAGTGATCACTCTACTATGCAGAGCCTTCTAGTATCTACATTTGGGAGAAGGAGTGATGTGATCAGTGATGTGATCGTTAACGGCTCTCTAGTATTCCCAAGGCAGATTCCTGTACATAGTGAGCCTTTCACAGTGATGACTCAGATACTCAAAGCAAAGGTCAGACTATGACCAGCTTACCTGTTGAGCCTGGGCCTGCTGCTGCTGCTGCTGCTGCTGGTAAAATGTGCCTGCTGGCTGCTGTGATGGTGGTGGCGGCTGTTGCTGCTGCTGCTGCTGCTTGAGGAAGAGTTGCTGCTGGTGTTGGGGTGTTGCCTGGGCCTGAGTGGGTAGACCCTGGGACGGAGTGGAAGGTGTCTGCTGTGAGGTGGGAGGAGCTGGTGGTTGCTTGGGCTGCGGTTGTGGTAGAGGTTGGCTAGATGGGGGCTGGGTTTTTGGTTGGGAAACACTGGCTAAAAGACCAGGCTGATTGCTGGATCCTGCAATAAGAATAAACTCCATATAAGACTTGAAACTCTTCCAGACAAAAACAACTTCTCTTCTTCTCAAAGTAAGAAAGAGGGGGTGATAAGTGGACAAATGATCCCAAAGTCCATATGGTCCTCACTGTCGGTACCTGGAAGGTCCATCCTTTTTGCTAAACTGTGTACTTCATATTTTTCAAAACAAGGTTTAGTAACAAAGTTCTATACTTGCCTCCTTCAGAAAGCTTTCCTTTATTCACCATCCCATTTAGTCAATTACTCTTTTAGTCAGCATCCTGAGTATCTACAAATTCAATTAGCCTTTGATGCTACTGCATAAAAACACAATCTTTGTACTTGTTGGCATGATGCAGAATAAAAGCATTCTTCGATTTTTTTTAAGTTTTATTTATTTTTAGAGAGAGGGAAAGGAAGGGAGAAAGTGAGGGAGAAATATCTATCAGTTGCTCCTCACAAGCATCCAACCGAGGACCTGGCCTACAACCCAGGCATGTGCCCCGACCAGGAATAGAATCAGTGACCTTCAATTTGCAGGACAATGCTCAACCCACTGAGACATGCTGGTCAGGGCTGATGTTTTACATGTAGATTACACAATCCCAGTCTGGATGCCTTGTAAGTAGAAGGCCACCAAATTCACCAAAAGCAGCTTACTGGTAAGGGAAGTGATGGCTGAGTTCAGTTACTTGATAATGTGGATCAATCCTCTGTGTGAAACTAAACTCAGTCACCTCACTAGAAACAGAATACCAAAACACAGAGTGGTGTGACAGATACATCAAGAGAGAGCATTGAAAAAAGAATTCCTCTATGTCAAAAAGAGATGTGTCTTGGTTCTTTAAAGGCAAAGAGAAGTAAATGAAACAAAAAGGTAGGTATGAGATGAATGGAGCAAGCTACAAAATGAGGGCAAAGACTGAAAAAAATAGAGACAACAGGCTTCCGTGGTCTTGGTGATCCCCTGCAGAATTCAGTGACAGGCCTCCCCTTTTGCCAGCCTCCTGCCATACAATTTCAATGGCAGCTTACCTCTTGTTCCTCAAGGAAAACCATCATTCTTTATGTGTCTCTGCATTCCATTCCTGAATCAAAACCAGACTTTGCAAGATTTCTCTCTTATCTGGGATAACAAAGAGGTACACTAAGCTTCAAACCACCCTAGAAACTGACCTGCAACCTGAGGTGGGGGCTGGACTGTGGCCCTCTTTCGAGGTGTCAGTGCTGGCTGGATGGGAAGGATTCCTGGGTTCGGCTGAGTCTGCCCAGCTTTAGGTCTTTGGCGGGGCGCAATGGAGGTCTCTGTGGTGGGAATGGGATCTGTCAGTCTAGAAAAGGAAAAGAAAAAACAATATTAAAAATACCTCATATTAAAGTATGGGAAAACGGGAGAGGGGCAGCCAGAGTACATGATGGATTAGCTTTTCCCTTGACACTCATCCAAACCTTCCAGATCTGCTTAACTGACATTTTCCAGAGGGTGTTATGTGTTATTAGATGTTATAAATGAAGGTTTTAAGGGTAAATAAGTTTTAATATACTGATCAAAATATTGATCAGATTTCTTTTCAGAACCTTTCATGTGTGAATATGTATAGAGAACCTCAAAGAAAGTACTGTATAGAATTCAGTGTTTCTCAAATATATTGGACCATGGGATCCTTTTACCTAACACTTCCTAGAATTTCCCAAAATACACTGTGGGTGATGATGCAAAGAGAGGTTTGAAGCAGGTGGTTTTCAGATGTAGAGGAACTCAAACTTCATTAGAATTAGCTGTCAAAAAGGTCTCCCTACTGTAAAAAGTATGCAAATAAATTAACACAGTAAGGCAACTAAAAGGAACAAATAAATAACTCAAGATGAAGGATTTGAGGAGTGTGACAGGAACTCTATTTCCTCCAGTACACATATTGTTTTTTTCCATGGTAATACAATACTTAACTGGACATAGAATCACCCAGAGTAAAAATCAAATTGCCTAGCTTCCCTTGTAATCAGGTGTGGCTGTGTATCTAAGTTCTGGCCTTACAGGATTGTTATGTGGCAGTTTCTGGAAACCTTTAGTAATAACTGGTACATCCCTTTGTCTCTCTTCTTATTTGGTCATTCCTTGATCCTGCTGCTTGGATTAAGGATGCTGCCATATTGGTCCATATGGTCATGGCCACAGCGTGATGGGTCATAGAGTGGTGAGCTTGAAGAAGCCTGGGCACCTGAGGACTCTGTGGAGCAGAGTTGCCCCTACCAGCTCTGGACGACTTATCCCCAGACTTTGTTTATGTAAGAGAAAAAAAAATCTATCTTACACAGGCCACTGTAATTTTGGACTTTGTGGAACTCATAGCCAAACTAACCCAAATTAGTATGGGGAGGACTGCTGGGTGATCTGCTTTCCTCTTGTGATGTGCTCCACCCCAGGTGGCGACTTTCATTCATTTGGAGCAGTCCAGGCAGCTGGCTACTACCCAACTCAGATCAGAGTGGTTGTCCTTCAAAAATGCACTTTCGGGAGTATAGCTGAGGTTAAAGCTAAAATAAACAAGCTTCATGAATATTATTTCCAAAATATGTCTGGCACAGCCTCCATGAAACGCAAAACAGGAAGCATAGTAGCTGGCCCCGCATGCCTCCCTGTGCCATACCTCCATGGTCTTCCATTTTGGACCCTAAAGCTTTTCATTAGCATCCTGCTAGACTAGCAATTTTCAACCTTTTTCATCCCATGGCACACATAACTAATTACTAAAATTCTGCAGTACACCAAAAAACATATTTTTTGCTGATCTGACAAAAAGGTATAATTTTGATTCATTCACACCAGACAGCTATTGTTGTGTTGGCTGTTGTCATTTTTTTTTTTAATTTGATAATCTAAGGAAAAAGGGGTCAGTGTCCCCAACTAAATACTCAGGTAGGGCATGTTTTAAAAATTCTTACGGCACACCAGCTGGAAATCACTGTGCTAGAGGGAAGTCTCATGCTGGGTGAAGAACTGATAGTATAAAAGCCATCACATCTGGGGAGGCTATCACCTGGGGAAGGGAGGTGGGAAGGGAAATGAGACAGTTGTTGAGAGAGGTATAAGAAAGATAAAGGCAAGGGTGAGACATAAATAGACTTGAGTAGAAAGCCAAATGCTAAGAACTTCCACACTGGACTTCTCCCAAGGGTAACAACATCTTAGAGACATTGGATTTGGAGTCAAGAAAATTATATTTGAGTGCTAGCTCTCCATCTACAAACTGTGTAATAATGGGCATATCATTTAATCTCTGTTAGCCCTGGGTCCCATATATGGAATAGGAGAAATCAATACTTACACCATGAGGCAGATGTGGACATCAAATGCATCAATGACTATGAAACCATTTTAAAAATGCAGAGTGTTCAAGCTTTCAGTTTTTATGGGTCTTAATATGTTGCAAGAAAACACAGGCTGTGAGGCCAGGAGATCTGACTCTAAGTTGTCCTCTCTGTGTGATCTCAGGCAAACCACTTAACATACAGAGTAGAAAGTATGGATGCTGGAGGTCAGATTCTTTTACTAACTGCATAGTGACTAACTGCCTTGGGCAACTTACAATTCTGAGTCTGGTTTCTAATCTGTAAAATGAAAATAACCTCAGAGGTTTGTTTTAAAGGGGGGAAAAGCCATTGTATTTATGTAAAGTACCTAGTATTGGATTTAGTATATATGATGCCTCAATGAATAGAGGTCACTTTAACAACAGAGTTAGAAAGAAAAACCCATCTGTTGGGACTAGGGAGTGAACAGGATAATGAAAATGAAATCACTGTACAGTACAGATAGGACAACTTAGACCCAAATTTCTTGGCTGTCATGTGTCCGTTATTTCTGCAGCAGTATTGAGGTCCATACAAACTGTCTGGGAACTCTACAATTTATAAAACAGTTTCACAGTCATTTATGCATTTGATGTTCACATCTGCCTTATGATGTTGGTACTATTTTATCCATTTTACACGACAGAGTACCACTCAAATGTTAATCGTTATTATCATTTTCATAAATGTGTGTGCTTTGTGGGAAGAGATCCTTGCTGAGCTTCAGCAATACCATGTTTGGGCCTAGTACAGATGGCCATAAACCCAAAATACTAAATTATTAAATCAGCCTCAGAAGCAATTCCCAGAGGTGAGCATGGCAGACTTACACAAGAAATAAACAGACCACAAACTAATAGTATGGATATAGTTTGCTAAATTTGTTAAAAACCAAAGTCTCATTACTTTAGAGCCACATCAGCAGACGTTCTATAAATATTCAAGAATTTTTTTCAATGTAGAAGTTATTTTACTGTTCTATAAAAATTCACATTTTCTCATTCAGGGTATTTTGTTTGTAATTTGCTGCTAATATTTCCTTGCCGTGGGAGTGTGGTAGAAAATAGAGGGGTATAAGCATCTCTAGGACCACCCTCAGAATTTACCATTTGGAAGGCAGAGCAGCCATGAGACTGTGTCCTGCAGACCTTCAAATATAAGCAGCATAAAGGACCAAGTGCCTCTGCTGCTGTGCTCCCGAAACCCACTACTCCTGCTGTGCTTGCCCCTGAGGCCACACTTTCCATAGGCTGCTCCCAGTCTTATTATCCCAGCCGCAGGGATATTAGGGCAGGGACTGTTCCTGGGACATAGCAGGTTCCTCTGGTAGCTAACTTTGACTCAAGGATTCCTTGACACCCTTGGCGAACCTTCCTTAAACTATGTGGCAATTTTTAGGTCACTTCCACCCAACTTTCTCCTCCTTATCTCTGGGTCTGATTTACATTGCCTTCTGATGGTTCCCCTAGCCTTCCCTGGCTCCCACCCTATTTTCTCCCTCAGGGGCATTTACTCAAATAAAATTCTAGTTTCTTTAGTTCTCTCTTAGCATCTGCTTCTTGGAAGATCCTAATGTAAAATTACCAAATGTAATTTTTGGACTGTATAAATGTAACTACTCCTTAACTAGGGGCAAGGAGCTCTACATTCAGCCCTTTGAAGGCAACCTCCAGGCTGATGTGGCCCCTGGTGAAAATGAGTTTGACACCCTTGTCCTAGGTTATCCAGAATGTGAGTAGCTAAGGTCTACAGGCTCTTTGGCTGTACATGGACTCTGCTTTGACCTGTACTTTCCTAACATGGCCAGGGCCATAGAGAGTTAAAAGGAAAGGGAAGTGGAGGATTAGGGTGCTGAAAGAGGCTAAACAAAGGCCAGGACACCTATTTAGGACACTCTTGTACTAGCAATATTTAAAGTCTGCTGTTGTCTCCTCCCTTTATGCCCCTGAGCCTATTCCCAAGCAAGGGAAACAGCTGTGGAGTTTTTGATTATCTTCAAAAATAGATCACTATATTTCATTATATTCCTCCTTGTACCCCCAAATGATAGCTTCTGTCCCAAGGAGACAGAGCTTGTTTTCTTGTGCTGTGAGCATCTTGGCCACGGCAGAAGAATCAAGAAATACAAGGCACCCTCCCGTGCTACTGAGACAACAGAGCACACAGGTGCTCACTGAGGCATTTCTTACCTGGCCTTCGGCTGGGTCTTCTTTGCCGCTGCCTCACTGGCTTTCACTGGTTCAGGAAGCTTTGCAGGAATGGGAGAATTCTACAGAATTTAGAGAAAATTTTTAAAAAGAGCATGATTTGGCTGATGGAAATATGTGTTGGGGTTCTTTGGGAGTGGCTTCCGGACCCTGATCTCTGATAGAGAGGAGGGAAGTTAATCAAAAGCATATCCCACTGGACTCAGCCTCAGTCAGGGAGGCAAAGCAGCTGAGAAGAGGACAGAGCAGCCTGCATACAGCACGTTCCTATGCTGTTGTTCTCAACCTTTTGTATGGCTAATGTTACTGGGATTTCATCTCAGTGCCTTCTCTCCCTATAGCACATCTGAGAAGTGGTGTTATGAAAGAAATGGAGAAAGATGTCTGTAACCTATATTAAATTTAAGCCCTCAGCTAGATATTAGGTAGGTTAGAGCTGAGTATTGTGTCAAACCAGGGTACATGCAGTCTTCTAGTTAGAATGATGGAAGAGAACCACAGCCACAGTGTGTCTGGTTGCTGAGCCAGCAGCTCTTCCCAGCACACAGGTCCAGCAGAGCTCCTCCAGCTTGGAATCTGCACCATCCCTCTAATACTGTCTCTTGAGGGACCACTAATTGTCCCTAACCACAAGACCACTGTTGACCTCTGCTAAGGGAGTATCAAGCGACTTCAGACTTGTGAAGCTGACTTATTAAAAACTAGTTACCGATCTGAATGCTTTCAATTATATATATGTTATTTAACTTTATGAATAGGCACGTGGGATAGTCCCATGTTAGTGGCATGTTAGGTTACTATACAATATCCCTCATTTATTCTGGAAAACACAACAAATGGAATACTAATAATGAAACTGGCTTTTAAAGGGATGTCCCATTTCCTTCACCTTTTCCAGGTGGGGAGGATTTCCAAAGAAAATGTCTCCTAGTTTCTCTTTCACCCTCCAAGTGTTCCTCTTTCAAGGGAAAAGGTGTAACTTACTCCACTGATAAGACTGGGAGAAAAAGGTGAACTTGTCTGGCTCGCCCTTGCTCTCCCTCCTCTGGGGAAGAGCCCATCTCTCAGTCTCTCAGGAATCAGGTGCTCACTGCTTGGTCATGAGGCTCTAACATTAGGGAGACTGACTGGTCGAGCTACATTCTCTGACACAATCTTTTTTTTTTTCTGTGCAAGTGAAATTCTATTACAGATTCTAATCACATTCAGAGAAAACTAGTCCAGAATATTAGTGAACACTTCCCAATTTTTAAAAAATTAAATTTATTGAGGTGGCTTGGTTAATAAGATCATGTAGGTTTCAAGTGTACAATTCTATGATTTCTTTGTATAGTGTGTCCACCAAAGTCAAATAATCTCCTGTCACCATATATTTGGCCCCTTTTACCCTTTACTACCCTCACCAACCCCTCCCCTCTGGTAACCACAATACTGTTGTCTGTGTCTGTGAGTTTCAGTTTTATATCCCTCATAGGAATGAAATCATATGGTTCTTAGCTTTTTCTGACTAACTTATTTTGCTTAGCATAATATTCTCAAGGTCCATCCATGTTGTCACAAATTTCGTCTTTTCTTATGGCTGAGTAGTATTCCATTGTATATATGAGCCACATCTTTATCTAATTCTTTATCAAAGGACACTGCTGTGGTCTCCATGTTTTGGCCACTGTAACTAATGCTGCAATGAACAAAGGGGTGCATATGTCTTTGAGAATACATGTTTTTGAGTTTTTTCAGGTAGGTACCCAGAAGAGGAATTGCTGAGTCATGTGGTAAGTCTATTGTTAATTTTTTTAGGAACCACATTCCTAAATTCCATACCATGTTCCATAGAGGCTGTACCAGTTTACATTCCCACCAGCAGAGAATAAGGGCTCCTTTTTCTCCATAAGCTCTCCAACACTTGTTATTGCCTGTCTTGTTGATAACAGCCATTCTAACAGGTGTAAGGTGGTACCTCATTGTAGTTTTGAGTTGCATTTCCTGAAGAGCTAGAGAAGTTGAGCATCTTTTCATATATCTGTTCGCCATTTGTATGTCTTCTTGGGAGAAGTGTCTGTTCAGGTTCTCTGCTCATTTTTAAACTGGTTGTTTGTTTGGTGTTGACTTGCATGAGTTCTTTACATATTTTGGATATCAACCCCTTGTTGGAGCTATTATTTGCAAATATCATCTCCCATCTGGTTGGTTGCCTTTTTGTTTTGTTGTTGGTTTCTTTTGCTATACAGGAGTTTTATTTGATTGTTTGTTTGTTTGTTTGTTAAAGATTTCATTTATTTTATTTTTAGAGAGGGAAGGGAGAGAGAAAGAGAGAAAGAGAAACATCAATGTGCGGTTGCTGGGGGTCATGGCCTGCAACCCAGGCATGTACCCTGACTGGGAATCGAACCTGCAACACTTTGGTTCGCAGCCCGTGCTCAATCCACTGAGCTACGCCAGCCAGGGCTCGCTATACAGGAGTTTTTTAATTTGATATAGTTCCATCCATTTATTTTTGCCTTTACTTCCCCTGCCTTTGGGGTCAAATTTATAAAATCTCTAAGACCAAGGTCCATAAGTTTAGTATCTATGCTTTAGTCTATGTAATTTATTGTTTCAGATCTTATATTTAGGTCTTTGATCAAGTTTGAATTAATTTTTGTACATGGGGACAACCTGTAGTCTAGTTTTATTCTTTTGCATGTGGCTTTCCAATTTTTCCAACACCATTTATTGAAGAGGCTTTATTTTCTCCACTGTGTGTTTTTGGCTCCTTTGTCAAAAATTATTTGTCCATATACATGTGGTTTTATTTCTGGGATCTCAATTCTGTTCCATTGGTTTGTATGTCTGATTTTCTGCCAGTACCATGCTGTTTTGATTATTATAGCTCTGTAATATAATTTGAAGTCAGAACTTTGTTCTTTTTTCTCAGGATTACTTTGACTATTTGGGGTCTTTTGTGGTTCCATACAAATCTGATGATTTTTGGCTATATTTCTTTAAAAAATGACATTAGAATTTTGATGGAGGTTACATTAAATCTGTTTATTGCTTTGGGTAATATGGCCATTTTAATTATATTGATTCTTTTAAACCAGAAACATGAAATATATTTCCATTTCACTGTGCCTTTTTCAATCTCTTTTAATAATGGTTTCTAGTTTCCAGTATATACATCCTTTACATCCTTTGTTAAGTCTATTCCTAAGTATTTTATTCTTTTGGTTGCAATTGCAAAAGGAATTGGGTTTTGTTGTTGTTGGGTTGTTTTTTTTTTTCATTTCTTTTTCTGAAATTTCATTGTTAGTATACAGGAAAGCAGTGATTTTTCTACATTGATTTTGTATCTTGCAACTTTACTGTATTTGTTTATTGTTTCTAACAGGTTTTTGGTGTAGTTTTAGGGTTTTCTACATACAGAATCATGTCATCTGCAAAAAGTGACACTTTTACTTTTTCATTCCCAGTTTGGATGCCCTTTATCTCTTTCTCTTGCCTGATTGCTCTGGCTAGAAATTCCAGAACTATGTTGAATAAGAGTGGTGACAGTGGACATTCTTGTTTTGTTCCTGATTTTAGAGGAAAAGCTTTCAGTTTTTCACCATTGAGTATGACATTAGCTAAGGGTTTGTCATATATAGCCTTTATTATGTTAAGGTATTTTACTTCATACCCATTTAATTGAGTGTTTTAATCATAAATGGATGTTTTCTGATTCAATCTTATTAATAATAATGCCAATATTCTGAGCTCCGTCTGAATGATTCCTATATCATTCCTATATCTGAATGATTCCAATCATTCCTACTTCTGAATGATTCCTAATCCAAGTGTGGGAGGGAAAGTGGAGTGTTATTTATCAGCACCAAAAATGACATCAGAACTTCATTATTGGAGAAGCAGGCAAGAAAATTTCAGATTAGAACGTATTTATGATGCCATTCATTACTAAAATATTCAAAAGAGTTAGATCATATTATGACACGAAAAATATGCCAAGGCTGTAAAAAGGGTGTTTGCCAGAACTGCACTCAAACTGTGAGTGCAGAGTTTAGGATTACTTAGTGCATAAAACATTCCTATGGCCTGATGTGTGTGGGGAGGGTGGAAGAAAGGATCATGAGTCACAGATGGCCCACAGCAGAAGCAAAATCAAGAAAGCTGTACTGCAATGAAGGAGTAAAGGGACAAGGGACTTATGTTCCAACTAGTATGTGGGCAAGTCCAGGGCCTTGTCTCAGGAAAACAGCCCGCCTAACCACCTCTACAGGTAAATAAAATCTGCACATGGCTCTTAGTGAACTGTGAAAATCAGAAAGACAATAGTTCAGTCAATCTTCACCCAAAGTGTTCAACTTAATCCCTAGAGCTTTTTTGTTTTCATGTAGCTGTCTCAGTTTTATAATTAAATTCTATTGGAAAATTGGATTCTGTTTATAACAATTGCTTCAAAGTTAGTTTTGCGAGTGAATGAGCCCTACTAGATAAAGGGACATCTACATTCACTGAACAGATGACTGACACTCCAGAAATTCTAAACGACAATTCAATAATGTTGACTTCCCCTAAAAAGTGACGTTCACATACCTGTACATTCGGAATCGGGCATTCTTTCTTGAGTAGTTTAAATGAGAAGTAGGAGACCTGGTAAATATCTGGCCTTTTGTCGGGGTCTGGTTCCAACATATACCCTGAAACAAACATATGTGAATGCATTTAATAATATCCTAACAGTACAGTATCTAGAAAGCATAATTTCTCTGTGACCAAAATTTGTTGTTTTTAATTTTTTTCCTCATAAAAGACAGATAGTATAATTTGTCAATTTATTCCCTTCTCAGAAAAGGAAGCTCTCACTTAAAATGTTTAATATCCACAAGAAAATAACAAAGTTTTTGAATTGTTAACAAAGATACCAGAAATTCACACTCCGTGCTTTGCAACAGGGACTCAAATTCTTAATATGGAAGTTACTACCTTCATGTTCTGGTACCTAGGAAGTTATATGGTCAATCTTGCTAAACAAATGAATTTTTTTTAGATTTTTTAAAATTTATTTTTAGAGAGAGTGGAAGAAAGGAAGAAAGAAAGGGAGAGAAACATCAATGAACAAGAGATAGATCAATCATTTGCCTCTCACATGCCCCCAACTGGGGACCCAGCCCACAACCAGGCATGTGCCCTGACTGGGAATTGAACTGGTGACCTACTGGTTCGCAAGCTGGCACTCAATCCACTGAGTCACACCAGCCAGGGCACAAGTGATTATTCTTAATAGTTATAACCAACACTCAAATTTTATGAATTTATTATTATTTTATTAGAGATCTAAGCTAGTTTCAGGTCAAAAAGAAATCACAAAATAACAAATACATCTCTACTTTTACTGAGCTCTATAGATCACTAGTCTGTTTCTAGCTGCCCTTTCTGAAACTGGAAAAATCCTCAGTTAAAAAAATCTTTAAAAAGACACACATACATATAAACAACAATGCAAGGCAACTTATTGCTTAAGAAATCAAATACATGTTTTAGGCACTAAGTTCAGAAAAAACTAATGAGGCTGCTGTCTTGTGGAGGCTTTACAGAAGAGGCAAAACTTGAGCTAGTCCTTGAAGGTAAGAAAGAATTTAGTCAGTCTGGGGAAAGTAGAGAAAAAGACCAGCTCCAGGTAAGAGAATAGTCTGAACAATGACGGACTTGGAGAAAGGCAAAACCATGCTCTGCTACAAGGAAACAGAGAAGCTAGAAGGCCAGGGCATAGACTTCATTGTCAGAAAGCACAGAGTAATAAGGCTGGGTAGGTGGGATGGCACCAGAATATGAAGGATTTTAAATGCCATACTAAGAGTCTGGGCCCTACTGTGGTCATGGTTTACGGCATAGGCACATGATAGGGTGGCATTTTACAAGATTAATCTTTTTTGAAAATTTTTAGAAGATTTTATTTATTTATTTTTAGACAGAGGGGAAGGATGGGAGAAAGAGAGGGAGAGAAACATCAATGTGTGGTTGCCTTTCATGTGCCCCTACTGGGGACCTGGCCCACAAGTCAGGCATGTGTCCTGACTGGGAATCAAACTAGCAACCCTTTCGTTCACAGGCCAGCACTCAATCCATTAAGCCACACCAGCCAGGGTACAAATTTATCTTCTGGTGAAGGTGTGTTGGATAGGTGTGAAGAAGGAGGGGACAGGCTATGGGCAATCTACTACCATAGGCATGAGCTGACAGAGTCTACATACACATGATCGTGACAGTGATGAGAATGGAGAGAATGTAATGAAAACAGGAAATGCCAAAGAAAGCATGTATGCTACTTAGGAAATACTGTTTCCTCTCTCTTGCTAGGCAAATCCAAAGAAAACCTTAAATTTCAGTCATCCAGGCTTTTATGGTGACACCACTGATAGAAATTGAAAAGAGAGGGAATCCTTGAACTGGGAGTAAAAGGGGATAGGGAGATGACAATAAATTTAATTTTAATTTTAGACCTCTGAGTTTAGGGTCTAAACTCTTCAAAGAGTTTGTAAACTGAAATATATAGATCAGAGTTTATAAAGATGTCATGTTACAGACATTCACAAAGGGCTGTTTTTCTTAATGTGAATTTGCCATACAAATGTTAACAAAAAAAAAAGTTATTACCCAAAACATCCATCATTCCAGCATTACATTGGGCCATTTTCTCATATTTATTTCCAATTTCATTTAAATAGCTGTAATTCTAGAATAGATATAACACTTTACCTCTGAAAACAATCCAATAACCATTAAATTCCACGTTCCATTCCTTTAAATACCCTCCCTCACTTTTCTGTTAATATATGGTGGAAACTGATTGATTGACTGATTGATAAAAACTGGCATAATGGAATGGGTAGTCACTTAAAAACTATAACCAAGTTTACTTGGGTAAGTTGCCTATACTTTCTCAGCTTCTGTTTTCTCATTTGCATAATGGGGATAATTACATTTATTGCATAAGGTTTTAAGAACTAAATGAGGTACAAGTGGGCCCTCAACAAATGTCAGATGCTTGCCCCACATTGGCTTCTATTTTCTCCATAGCATCCCCACCCAGGACCTAAACTAGGTTGCTCAGGAATTATAATCCATAATGGTTAAAATTTAGATGCTACATGTATTCATTGATGTAAAACAGTGATAAAAAATAATCTGTTTCTTTAGCACTTTAGAACAGGGGCTTATGCAAAGATTACTTGTTCTACCATCTGGTTAATGAACACAAGTACATATGCTTACTATGACAATGCAAAAAAGTGGGGAATTTAAAAAAAAGTATTTAAAACAAGGCATTGAGTTTCAATACTTGTTATCAAAATCTAGTGATTAACCTAAAGGAGAGGAAAACCCTAGTTCCACAGAGTTACACAGTCTTAATTATGAATTCACACCAGTCGATGTACTGCAATTATTTTAATTTGAGTTGCTTCCAGCTTAGCACAGATGAATTTATCACTTGACATGAGTCAGCTGGACTCCTTTGGAAAGCAGAGCTTTCACACAGCCGGGAAGAGAACAGGGCAGTGCTACACTGCTCAAAGTGCAGTGAGGGTTTCTGCTCAGGCAGCTGACTGGGGTATAAAATAGGGTTTAGATTTCTAGCAAAAGACCCCAAACAACAATAATAAAAAAAAAAACCCACACCATTCTCACTAGATATTGCTATATTATGTTTGATTGATCAACCATTATCAACTGGCTTCTTTATCTCTGCATCCAACCCACCACTCCCTTTATCCGCCAATTCATTCCTAGAGATGAGGGAGAACAATATAAAACTACAAACATGAAATACTTACTAATTAAGCAGTGCATGTCTTGGGAATATCGAGAGTTATCAGGAATTGTGAAGTTTCCATCACAAATTGCCACCTGACTCTCCCCAAATGGCAAAGTGAAATAGCATAATTTATACAATAAACATCCAAGAGCCTAAAAAAAAGAAAGAAAGCAGATTGCTACTAGAGCTTTATTTACCATAATTGCCAATGGGTCTCCTGAGTGATACTGGCACCATCTGCATTTACTATCACAAATAAAAACTATGTACTATTAATTTGTAAATAATTTTAAATTAGAACTCAACACCACTATTAAGCTGCTGAGTTACATTATTTCTACTCTCATTACCAAATTAAGCTCCAATAAAGAACAAGTATTTCAGTTGTTTTTCTCTTAAAAACTAGTAACACGTATGTGACAACCACCCAAATAAAGGGCAAGTCACCTGAATAACTGTCACAGAGCTCTAAAGTAATTTTCTTGGCCAGGCTGCAAGAAGCAGTGGTTGGTCATCTCGAGTTAAGAATAGTGCCAAAGGATAAGTAGACACCGATGTGGCACAGTGGCCACTCTTGCTGTGGCACTGTCTGGATTAAACGGGAGGTTACAATCAAGACTGCTGACATCTGAGCTGTGGATAGGTTAGTGGACACCTACCCAAATGTCTGCCTTTGTAGTGATGATTTTGCCACTGTACAGGTTGACCATTTCTGGTGCCCGATAGGAGAGCGTTGTGTACCTACAATCAAGAGATTAATTTTTTGTTAAATATGTCAGTGATATAATCGAAGACCAGGGGTAGCAGAATACTTTAAGAATATGTGCATGTGAGTTCCCTGGGAGCAATCTGCAGAAGCAAGTATGAAACATCAGGGCAGATGAAATAAGAACTGTCCTTGGCACACACCTGTGGCCCTCTGGCTGCAGTCCCAATCCAAGAGCATGTGGGGACCCAGACACGATGGCATTCAATAAACTCTGAAAGCAACTTTTCTTGAGTCCTCAAATAACAAAATTTCCTCCTATAAACCCTTGTTGTTTGATACTATATTTTGCTGATATGTTTTTAAAAAATAGTAATTCCTTTTAATGTGGCTTGACACAGAGACCTAATACTGGTTGGGACACTCTGGAGAACAGCTGAAAACAGGCCCTGATGGGGTGGGGGAGAGGGCGGGGACTGATCTTTGATGCTGGATTAGGGCTGAAACAACAGTTTTCCTTTTATCTCTGACTCAAGAAAAGAGGAATATGAGCTCATCTTTCAAGTGAGTCTCTTGATGTTACCAAGCATGTGACTTGTGCTGCTTGAGTCTCTAGAGGTCAGAGGGTACTTTAAGTGTCCATCAGGGCCTTGGGCCAGAAGTTTTCCTGCCCCAGCCTTGGTTGCCAGGAGTGGTGCAGGAGAGAGAGGATCAGGATATGAGCGGGCATGCGAGACTACTGAATCAGTAGTAGTTTTAATAGTGAGTGTTGTTGCCTATGAAAAATCCAACACTCTACAGAACAGGAAAATCGGTCAAATTTTTACTGGAGTCACATAACCAAAGAGGCTTTTCCTCATGAAAGTCAGTGACTATCTGTGGAGACTTCCATGGCCCTATTCAGCCCTCCACTGTACTGCAGGTGAGCTCCTTATGAGAAGGAAGGGATACACAACAACTTAGGGTTCAGTAAAAGCACATTCAACTGACTAATTACTTCACAGCTGTTGTGATCCCACTTAAAAACATCACAAGTATTTCTATGGTGTGGGCACTATTCAGTTTTTTAAGGGCTTCATGATATAAATCAAAATATCTGTGTACAATGACCACAGGCCTATTGATAAAGTGCTATAAGAGTCCTTCATTTTACTCTACTGATCAATAATTGTAAACCCCCTCCACATCCTCCACTTAAAATCAAACAACCAACTGCCAACACAATCTAAGAAGAGGGCAACTGACCAGCATCATTGTCTTCCCACCCGACCTTCTTATCCATAGGCTGGAAGTTACTGATCGCACAATGGACAAAACTCGAAAAAAGGAGGAAAAGCTTACTTCTTAATCTCATCTTCTACTGCATTGACTCCTTCAGTTTGTGGATTCTGGAATTTGTTGGTGGCGCTTCCAAAATCACACAAGACATAGTGGCCTCGGTCATGCAAGAGGATATTTTCAACCTGAAAAACATTCCCCCCCCATCCATTCCAGGATGTCATTTAATAATGTGTATGAAATTTTGGTTCTCATTTAGATAAATAAAATACTTCATTTCTGATAATCCCATTCACGTGCATAGGAAAGTTATTCTCCTCCAAGTATATCAACAGGGCTCACCCCCAAGTGGAACAAAACGAGATGCACATTACCAGGGAACATGAGAGTGGAGGGGGCAAAAAGAGGGGACTCCACAATGAGGAGGCAAAAGTCTCATTTTTCTGTTTCAATTTCTAGCCATATTTCTCACTTCTGCAGAAGAAAGTCCTCAAATTAAAAACTTCCAAATCTTTGGACCTTTTGTCATGCTCTTTCAGTCTAGAATGCCTTCTATGACCCCTACCTTTACTCAAACCGTCCTGAACATACATATTCACTTTAAAAACTTAAAATAATTCCAACAAAGCAAAACTAGTATTTCCAATCTATTGGTTATAAAAACAACAGCTACCACTTACTGAACTTCTACTATTAGGAGTGCTAGTTTACTCAGCATTTTACATGGATTATCTCTTTACATGGATTATTACCTCATAATAACAATATAATAATATCCTGTTTACAGATGGGAAAGCAAGACTCACAGTGGTAAAGCCACGGAGTGAACCTAAATCTCTGAAGGACAGGCGGAAAGCAGGTTAGAAGCAGAGCAATGACTCAAGACTCCCATCCCCCCCTCCTGCCCTGGTAGGGGAGAGGACTATACTTGCCTAATGTACTGGACACCAGGTGAAGAACAGAACTATCTTAGTCCTTTAGGTTCAGAAATGCCCCTATAATAGGAATCTAGTCAATGAGAAACCAAGTGTATAAATACTGGTCAGGACGATTTGCTCATGTCTCCTAAGCATTCCTATATTGCCTGCTTTGTCCTTTATTCAACTGCTCCCTCTCCACTAGTCGAATCCTCGCCATTCTTCAAACTCTTGCTCAAGCCCTAACTCCTCAGTAAAATCTTCCATGGCCACCCTACAAAATCTACAGAACTTAATGTTACTAGGAGGGGTCAAGAAAGTAAGACCTTCATGCCAAACCGAGGCATTTCCTTTGCTCTATTCTGTGGCTGCTTTCAAGCTCCAATAGCAGAGCTGAGCCGTTGATACAGAGACTGTATGGCCAACAAGCCTAAAATTTCACTATCTGGTCCTCTGCAGAAAAGTTTGCCAACCGTTGGTCTAGGTAATTATATTATATCTGGTTCAGTATTTTACGCACATAGGTACCTGTAGATCCCTTATACAGCATCATTATGCAACAACCTTCCCTTCTGGCCTTATGTATCCTACAGAGCTCATGTGAAACCATGCTTCTCCTACTGTATGTGTGCAGTCGCTTCCCAAATCAGTTTCTATACTTCTAATGCTGGAATGTATAATCTAGAAAACTGAAAAGTTAATTCGCATCAAAATGCAGGCAAGGTAGTTCTAGGGACCAAAATCACTATTGGCAGGTGGGGATTGGAGAAGTATCAGGTAGACAAAGGATAGCATAAAGATAAGGCACTTTGGGGTATTTATTCCCCCTATCCTAAAAACTAGGTTAATGTTTCTGGTTACCTGTAGAGTTGCAGCACTCAGGAGTTACACTATATCCAATCTGGTTCACCTCAGCTTGCCTCCCTCCCAGGCACAAAGCTAGTATTGTATAAAAATATATTTACAGGAAAACCAGTTAAACATTAAGGGTGTGTACAAAAGTAGACAAGAGAGCCAGAAATATCAATGCAGGTAAAAATAATAATCCCTGCTCTGCGACTCTGCAAGGAGAATCAAGAGATTATGAAGGTGAAACCACTCAGCAGCAGTCTGACCTTGTGACTTGTGACACCTGTAAAAACCTCCTCTACCCTACATCATTGGCAGCACTGTCACCACCCAAACGCTTAACACAGAGCACAGCATTGGCAACCACAGTGGACTTGGGGTTCAGAGGACCTCAGGGTTTATTATAGATGCTTGACATTGAACATGTCTTTAAAGCTCTTTGAGCTTGCTTCTCATTTGCAAACTAAAGTTGATAATATTTACATCACTGTTGTTATGAACCAAGTAAGAGAATGTATGTGGATGCAAACTGTCCATCTCCCTACGTAAACATAACTTGTTACTACCATTCATTTATTAAAGAAAAACATTTGAACTTGTACTATATGTCAAGTACTTTTCAAGGTTTTGGAGATAAGACTATGAACAAATCAAAGTTTATCTTCTCATGGAGCTTAGTATCCAGTTGAGGATCATAAGAAAATAATTGCACCATGGTGGTAAATGTTATTAAACCCCCCCAGCAGGTTAAATATATGTATGGTGAAGAGGGATGCTACTGTAACTAGCACAGTCACTCAGGTGAGGAGCAGAGATCAAAACAAAGGAGGGGGCAGCCATGGACCACCTGAGGGAAGAGCACTCCAAGCAGCGAGTAGTTAACACAGAGGTGCCAAGATGGGAGCATGCTGAGGTGGCCAAAGCAGAGAGGGAGACCACTGTGGCGGAAACAACTCTCCTGGTACTGCAAAGAAAACTGGAAATGTGGGACTGGACATACTATGGGCTAGCACTCTTATGAATGGGGAGATGAGAAGGCTGGGCCCTGGAAGAGTGAAGGCCTTAGATAAGTGAAACTAGTAGCAGGAACAAAGGCACAGAGGCAGGAGTGGTAATAACAACAGTATCAGCAACTAATAGCATTTACTGCATGCTAGATGCTGCCCCACACACTTTTACCTGTAGTATTTCATGAAATCTTTAAAAAGCCTTTTTGTCCCCACTTAACAGATGAGAAAACAGTCAATTTACCTAACATATGTGAAGTCACAAGCCTGGAAGAGCAGGATCTGGGTTCAGGCTGCATCCCCTACTGCACTGATGTGCATTATGCAGTTATGGAACACAGGCAGTTCAGACTGGAGAAAGAGATGGGAGCAGGAGAGGAGACCAGAGGAACAGACAGAGGGCAAACTGAATAAGGCCACTAGGGAGCCACTCAGCATTTTTAACAGTCAGCAGCAGATGAGAAGAAGTGTTTTAGGAAGGTCAGCATGGTGACAGAGGAGGGAGAAAAAGAAAGCAGACATGAGTGCAGGTGCAATCATCCAGGTGTGAGGTGAAGAGAGCCAGGTCTAGACTAGGGCCAAGGGAGATTAAATGAGATTAGGAAGGAAAAGAACCAACAGAATATTGACACCATCTTCTGAAAGCTTCAGAGAATTTGCGTAGTGACTTTGTTTTTGGCAATGCCCCTTTTAGGATGTAAGCCTAACACTGGTTTCCATTGCTTACAATCCTCAAGTCATTTGGCTCTCTGAGAGTCTAATACTGCTGACTACTTCCCAACCCCTTGGCTTAAGAGTGTTATTCAAGTTGTCACTCCCAAAATCTGCTTAGCTAAAAGGTCTGGAAAAGCCACCTCCTACTGACCTCTACATCTTGACATTATTTCAAACAGATATGGCATTCAGGCATTTCAGTCAGAATTTATTACCACGGGAAATTCTGGAGGATTAGATGAATATAGGTTTTCAAATCTGTGATCCTAAAAATAGGACAAGAATCTTCAGCCTATTGTACGAGATCCAAATCTCTTTTCTGACAAAAGAGAAGACATTCATGACTTTTTCAATCTGAATGCACTTAAGTCTTAACCCTTTTCCCCTTTTCTTAAGTGCTGGGAAAGACGCCATGGTACAATAGGGCAAAACCAACCAAACAAAAACCAAAATGGGAGTAAAACACCTCAGCCTTTGTTCTCTGGTTGGATCACTGAATTAGCTGCACAGGTCACAACCATTCTGGACAGAGGTCACCTTATTATCCAAAGGAGAGGGCTGGCTTAGGTGAGCTTCCTGGGTTTATGACCCCATGATCTGTAATAATAACCTCTGTCATTCTTTGAAGAAATAGGATTTTTTAAATGGAGGAAATAAAATGTTAATATATTTGAGGAAGGCTCTTCAATAAGGAACAGAACTTCTGTTATGGTTATTTTTAGAATATATGCTGCTAAAGGACCAGGATCGATGTCAGCGTATTTCCTAACATGTAATTTGAAAGTACAACCAGGCAGGACAAGAGGCATTTTTCTCAGTTCTGCATGTGAACAGCAGACCTCCACACAGGGAGGCACTGAGTCAACACGGGGGCCCACAGCTGGCCTGGTCTGTGCTCTTTCCCATGTCCCACTGACTTTTATTCATAATGGTATCTCCTTACCAAATGGAAAACCTGCTCACAGAGAAGCAACCAGATGACCAGCAACCAGCACTTCTCTGGGCAACAGGAGAATAAAGAACTTCTTGGCTCTGGCTGTCACTAGGACTGAGGTGGCTGGTTCCAGCAGTGACCAAGAACTCAGAATGGCCTAGGCTATGTGATACAATGACACATCCAGGACAAACAAGACACAGCCAAGGCAAATGAGAGGTATATGGGGACTTTGCTCATGCCTTAGAAAGCTGGGAGTGTGGCAGGCAAATGTGACTGCCCACCACGCACACACTAGTAGGAATCAACAAAATCTAACATGCTAATGAAAGCATTCAGACGGCACCAAGTGTAAGATTTGGGGAGCTGTGGAAAGCTTCGATCAAAACAACCAGGAGTCAGTGACTAAAATCAACAGCAACAGGACTCCTCTAGGACAATCACAATGAGACCTCCTCCCAAGGCCCCTATTCACACTCCCTATTGCCAGGGTAGAAAAGAAAGGGAAACAAAGCCCCCCTGAACCACTGCTGGCTATCTGGCAGCATGCCTGCTAGTCTTCAATATTGATTAAAACACAAATACAGAGCCCAACACTGAGCTCCCAGTGCTACACTGCCTCTTAGGAACACCAAGGAGTGGGCAGGGCTGAGGGATGGCTGGGAACCACATGTTGCAGCCTCTCGCTCACATCAAGGCCTCACCCTGCGATTCCAGTTGGCTCCGCATTTCTCTAAGATATCTCAGGGGCTCTTCAGTGCCATGAAGGAAGAGTCTGGGGCTCCTGCTGCCTGAGCCCAAGCACTGACCTACTCCATGTCCTCAGGCAACACAATGGCTCTGTAACTTCACTGTAGGTTTTGGCTCTGTAGGTTCCCATCACTGGGTGACACTTAGCTACCACCTCACACCACACTGTGAACACCACAGGGCATTCATATGCTGGGAATATGTAAACTGGGTAGGTATAATTTATGGGTATAAAATGATCATTTTGTCCTCATTTAATCCAATAAATGCTTAAAAGGTTAAGGTAAAGGAAGATTTTGTTTAAGAACATGGGAACAGCACTCTCTAAGGATGCTCGAGGACCCTCTCTGCTTCCTTCCCTTGCTCCCACCTCCGTGCCTGGACAGTGACATGTGTGCTCTCATTTAACCTTACCACAACCCTAACAAAGCTGGCACTGTGGTCTCCACTTCACAGATGAGAAACCAAGGCTTACAAGCTGTGTTTAGAGTAGTAACCAGGAAGCGTGAAGAGAAGCCAGGTAGAGCATGCTCTCACGGAGGTCAAGGGAGGAGGCGGTTACAGAGGAGTCAAAGGCCACAGGGGGAGAACAGGACAGGGACTGAGAAGTGTCCTTTGCATCCAGCAATATGAAGGATGCCATCACGCTCTTCTCTCATAGCACTTACAATTCTATCAGTACAAGTCATGCTGTGAGTGGTACAGAATGAACTCGAATATGAAATTGAACCCCACCTGACATGGGGAGAGAATGGAGCTGCAGAGAGGCTGGAGCTCATACAGGTCACAGAAAAAGTTCCCACACTCACAGACCAGTGCTGGTGTGGCCCAGCCATGCTTCTTCCCTACCTTTTGTCCCCCACAAACTCTTTTCCAAGGCAGGCAACAGGGACCAAGGTCAGCTCCTAAAATGTTGGTACCACTGCTTATTTCAGAATATATACTAACAGGTCTAAGGATTTTACTCATCACTAAAGGCAACACTTAAATAAAATGTCCATACACACTCAGAGCACTGGCTCCTAGCTTGGTCTGCAACGTGCCATGTCCTGGGGCCTTAACTACCTTTCCTTGCTCAAATGCCTTGTGGTTCCTTCCCTTCTCCAGACAGCCCCTTGGGTGCTGCACTCTGCCTGAAATGCCTTTCAACTTCTCTGTGACCCACATCCCACTAGTACTTCAAAATTCCACTTTTCTAGAAGATTCCAACCATCATTTCCCTGATCTCACTATCTGATCATATATTACGCCACTTGATTTTATTCTATTCATCACTTTGTTCTATAAAGTTTTATATTTCACCTATTTCTGTTTCAGGTCTAAATGTTTTATTTATATCCCTTCGCCAACACTTAAAACATCTTGAGAGTAGGAACCATATTATATCTGTACAGAATTGTGTACTCATACTGTGCCGGGCTCATAATATTTACTGAGATGCATTCTCCTTTTTCTATTCAGCAAAAGGGCTGGCAGTGGGCAGAAGGACACTGGAGAAGGATTTCTAAGGCTGATGGAGTTAAATACCAATGCCTATCTTCCTGAAAGCTAACTGCTTTAGTACAGAAAAGCTAGTATGTGTGTATCACTCCACACCTATTACGAATGGCTAGAATTAAAAAGAACAATAATAAGCACTGGTGAGGATGTGGAGAAATTACAATCCTCATATATTGTTCATGGGATACAAAGGTGCAACCACTTTGAAAAACAGTTTGGCAATTTGCCAAAAAGTTAACCATAGTTACCACATGATGCAGCAAATCCATGCCTTGGTATACACCCAATAGAACTAAAAACATATGCATACATGAAAACTAGCACGTGACTGTTCATAGTAGCTTTATTCATAACAGCCAAAGTAGAAACAGTTCAACTGTCCATCAGCTGATGGATGGAAAAGCAAAGTGTGGTGCATTCACACAATGGAATATTCTGCCATAAAAGGAAAGAAGTACTGACACATGCTACCACACAGATGAACCTTGAAAACATTATTCTAGGTAAAAGCAATCAGACACAAGAGGTCAGAGGCTGTGTGAGCCCATTTACATGAAGTCCAGAACAAGCAACAGAAAATCGATCAGTGGCTGCCCAGGGTTAGGGAACCAGGGAATAAAAAGTGAGTGCTAATGAACACAGGATTTTTTTGGGGGGTGATGAAATGCTCTGAGAGGAGACAGTGGGGATGGTTGCACAGCCATGTAAATACTAAAAGCCACCAAACTGTACACTTCAAAAGAGTGAATTCTATGGTTTGTGAATAATGTCTCAATTTTTAAAAAAGCTTTTAAAAAAGCCTAAACAAAAATGCCAGTATATTGCTGTGATTCTCAAACTTTAGAATATACAACAACCACTTGGGGTGCTTATTCAGCTATGATTCCTGGACCTCCCTGACACCACCACCAAAATTACAGCCCAACAGATTCAGTGTGGAACCCAGCAACCTACGTTCAACAAGCACACTAGGGGGTGCCGATGCAAGTTATTAGCCATGAAGCACACTTCTCGGAACACAGGTATGATACAAACAGACTACACTTTAGAGTCAGAAGAGCAAGAGTCAAATTCTGGTGCTGCTCCTTCCCAGTTACATGACCTCAGGCAAGTCACATAACTTCTCTGCTCCTGAGTTTTCTCAACTATAAAGTGTAAAAAAAAGTCTCTCTCCAAAGAGACAGTGTACCTAGAGTGTCTAGTAGAGTGCATGGCATACAGTTGGTGCTCCATAAATGCTAACAAATCTTAACTGGGTGCCAAGTGCATTCAACAAACATTGTCAAGCAACTACAATATGAAAGGCCCAGTGCGAGGGGTTGGTAATTGGTAGGACAAATATTAAAAGTAATCTATTAGCAGATTTTGCAAAATAGGAAACAGACTTTAAAGACTATAATTTATCAACTATTGAAACTAGATATTACTTTTCATGACCCCTGGGAAAGTGAATTTGGGAGTGTATCAGAAAAAACAAAAACATTATGTGTTTAAGCATTTGATGATTAGGAAGAATTTCTGGAAACTACTTAAGTAATAAAACTGATACTTTTACTATACCATTATATCTTTCCTTCCTTTGTACCTTCTCTCCCCACATAGAACTCAAGCTGAGAATTTGGGGCCATGCCTTAATTTTCTCACATCCCCCTAGTATCTGTCCCGGTCTTGGGGGCAGAGAGAAAATAATCTCTAAGAACAACAATGAAACAGTGTGGTCTGTTACCTTCAGGTCACGGTGAATAATAGGAGTTTTGCACTGATGGAGGCGGGCAACAGCTTCACAGGTGTCACAAAATATCTGGAGCACTTCATTCTCTGTAAAGCCCGTTTGCAGGCGCTGGTTCATCAGGTTGACCACCTGGCCCCCTAAGGGGGTGCAGAGTGAAGGAGAGATTATAAACATTCAGATACATCTCTTACCCAAGAGAATGAATGGTTCTCCACAAAGCAGCAACTTGGACAAAGGTAACAGAGCTGATCGCTGGTTGAGTCAGGACTAAAACCCAGCTGTCTTAATTCTCAGCCTGGGATTTGTTCTCTTACATCTCAGTGCTTCTTCTAATGTGTCAAAAAGAGTTTCCTTGTGCTTCCTAAACAGTTTCCAGTGCTTCCTAAAGCACACAGTCAAGAACTGCCCTCATTATGTCTCCAAGATTAGTACTAGAACTGACAATATGGTCCTGCTCTAGTTGCCCAGTTACACTGCCCACGCTGTGTTTGAGACAAGGCTACAGGTTCAACTTGCTATATCTTTTAGTAAGAATCCAACAGCACAATAGACCTTAGGAGAAGGAAGAAGACAGCTTTATAGTCTGTACTTTAGGAACAGCCCGGTTTCCCTGGATTCACCACTTGCTGCCAGGTCTGTAGAAATGCTATACTAACACTTAACCTCCAGGACCAAAGGACTAATGGCTGCATTTATGAAATTAGCCAGATCCCCAGATACTCCTATTGCTTCATCTCTAAACATTTTACTGTCCAAAGAAGAATGGGCAGAAGGAAACAAACTGTCAGGTTCAAATTTTATAGTACTTAAAAAATCAGGTAACAGGTTTTATAGTAAAGGCTGAAATTATTACTTAACATGAACATTTTGGGGATTAGCAACATATTTAGTCTATGCACAGTATCTTAAGGCAAGGAAAATGCTACTGGAAGTAGGGGGACTACAAAATAGTTAGACAATGACCCAAGCTTTAAGTGGCGGCTGTTTAGGCCAAAAAAAAAGGTCAAAACTTCAAACAATGGTTGTATGAAATGCAGTTAACTCTGAGTAAATCCATGTTACATGGATTTCTCAAGGTAACTGTTGCTTGAAACTCCAGGCTTTCAACTACTTAACTCCACTGTTAAGAGCAGCATGGCTTGAATGCTGCCTTATTGGCAATCATGGCTCTTGAGCAAGGGGAGGGTGGTCACCACTTCCATTAGATAGAAAGGGTTCTTTCATGCCATTACAAGGATGGCGGTGTGGGTGGAAAACAGAACGCATGAGTGAGGGAGTAGGGAAGCTGAAATGTTTTCTTAGTTCATCTGGAATTGGTCTTTATTATTAGCCTCCAATATTTGTTTTAAAGCATCACAGCACATTCATTCTCATTCTGATACATTCTCTTTCACACACAAGCACCAAACCTTCCTAAACCTCGTAAAAATGGAGTTTTGTATTATGTACCACGTTGAACTGCTTGTGCCACTGATCCTTGCCATTATCAGAATAACCAAGAAGTGACAGCAAATGCTGTATCTTTTAGCCTCTTAGTTTTCCAGTCTTTAAAACTACAACAATATACATTAGGGTACAGTGTGATAACTGAAACGATCATCATGCCTTTGACAATAAAAGTGCTAGTGAAATGAGAGCTTAAAGTATGGTCCATATACTCACCCCTACAGAAGTCCATCAGAATGAGCACTTCCCATACATCACCACTACTCACATTGTTGATACTAGAATCAATGTAACCCACAATGTTCTTGTGTCCTGACAAGTCCCTCTGTAAAGAAGAGTTGAAATATTGTCAGTTACACAGACACAATAAGCCAGTCAGTTTCATTAGCACAGATAATTTAAATACGCAGAGACTAAGGAGCAGGGTCAAGAGCAGACCTCCAGTGGTCTCTAAGATTCATGGCCAGATCTTCAATAGCAGTTCTGAAACCCTATGAAACCATAGCACTCACATGAACTAAATTCTAGAACCAAAGGGACATGGGGTGACTACTTGCTCACTGCATTAGTAATCCATGCAAACCAGAAGCAAAGACCCACATCTCCAAAAACATGGCAAAGGGGCTAAGAGGAGAGAAAAAGTATGAACTATTTAAACATGTGAAAATCAAAGTGATGTTTTTTTCCTGGTCACATGTGAATTCAGCTTGACTTTTAAACTGTTCATACTGTTTTTCTTCCTTTAGGAACTACATGAAAAGAATAACTGATTCACAAACTTTTGAAGGGACTACAATGGCATTTTACTTGTAATTAAGCCCTTCAATCCAACCAGCTGAGATATAGAGAAGATGGGTTATGTTTCAGCCTCTCTGGTTGGAGCTGCATATGATCTCTTGGGGCTGTGTGGGGAATTTATTTGTGTCAGGACCACATGAGCACTAGAAGTGGCCGCTCACCCTGGTACTGTTATTGCCAGAGAGGCAATCCATGTAATGATGATGTTCAAACTCCAAAGTCATTGTGAACAAAAAGTGAGCTAGCTGGGTAATAGGACTTTTGTCAAGTACATCATTAACTAGTTTTAATATTTTACTTTGGTTTTATAAAATGGGGGCAGGGAGAATGTGGAAAATAGTGTTTCATAAGAATCACTATAGGAAACCTATCGGCGTGGCAGTGGTGAATGCAGCCCAACCCCTGATTCGGAAAACTGGTGGGAGTGAGTTGGCACACAGGACCCAGATCCCCGGATTTTCTGTGGGGAATCAGGCCTGTGTTGCACCTAAGCTGCCTTGAGGCTTGCTGTTGCTAAAACTCCCTCACCCTGAATTGAGACAGCAAATGTTTACTGCATATCTTTAAAGTAACTTCCTAAAGTCTGTGCTAAACCTCCCAAGTATGGAGTGTAACCAGTCAATCACTTTTCCCCTTGATCTGCAACATCCTTTTCTTTGAAGTAATTAGCAATATTCTTTCCTTTGTTATCTGTAAAAGGTAATCACCTACAGTGAAACTGTGCATTGTAAATGAGGGTCATCCTCTATGTAATGTACCCAGAAAAGCAATAAAAGCCTGTCCAGGCAGCGTTCGGGGCACTCTCTTACCCAGAGAGTGGGCATGCCGTCCCTTTTTCTCCACAGGACTTCTGCAGTCCATGTAAATTTGTTTGTTGTAGCCACAACTCACAGACCCTGCTGGCTGGAGTCTGCATCACACAAATTTGGCAGTTTGGACCACAGAACAGTAACGATCACCACGCTAACTAGAGATTTTGCTGTTTATAGTAATAAAGCCTCTTTCAATCTGAAATCACATACCAAAACAAGATGAAACCTCATAATATCAAATGAATACAATTGAACCCAGAGTATCAAAGTTAGAACTCATTAGAATGTTCCTCTGAGTGAAAGATTAAGAATGACTATTGCCTCAGAAGGTAGACCAAAGGTGGAAATGTTACCTATGCAAGAACAGCTTCAGAGTGGAGGTGAGAATGGAACTGGACTTGCACAGAATGGGAATTGAATATGAAAGGTCAGTGACTACAGGTTACTCTTTAAGAACATTTTGTGCTTAAGAGAGAAGCAGTAGTGAGGAAAAGAATTTTTATGTTGGGAAATAATTGAGCAAAGAGAATGGAAGGAGCAGAAGAAGGCATTAAGGCTGTGGTAATTGATGGAACCAAGTCCTGTAGGTAGAAGTGGCGATTCAGATCACTGCTACAGGGACTAGATTTAGAAAGACATTTCTTGCCTGGAAAGCAGGAAGAAATAAAAATGGATATGCATATTGGTTAAGGCTGGGAAAAAAGAGAATACGAGTGAGTTCAGATCTACTGTTCTGTTTTTGGTAGAAAGCAAAATCATCTCCAAGTGTAAGGGAATGAGAAAGAAGCTCGATGAGAGAAAAGTCTTAGAATAACTGCTTTGGATATAATAGACAAGAGAGATAATGAGGCAGAAAAGCAGTCTCTAGAGTTCAAGTTTCTCCAAATAGAAAGTGACTTTAGGACTCATGTTTTGCAGAACTATTATTCCACCTGCTTTTCAGTATTATTATCAACTCTTCTAGAACTTGTTTCCATTTACACAGTCCTGGAAACATGGAGAACCGGAGAGAAGTTTTTGGAAACCAAAATGGGGCAGAAGGCCATGTGTTCCAAATGTCCACAAGGAGGAATGAAAGACTAATATTCCTACACTTAACTCTTTGAAAAAGAATTGGCAATGTTGCTTGTGACTTTGTATCACTCCAAGAGGAATAATAAAGAATCTACAAGGAAAAAAAAACATTTGGTAGAGCCAAGAGGAAGTTAAGTGCTATTAGAGGACCCAAACTACATAAGTGACATCTGTAAATGGCACCCTAGAGCAGTTTGCCAAGATGTTTGCTAATGAGTTCAAGTGCAAATTCCTGTTCACTTTGTCTCTGCAGAGATCCTGCGAAATATCCACCAGAGAAGACCACCTCTTTGGAGGGAGACCATAACTTTTAATGACTCGATGCAGCAATATCTCAGATTTTAGAGTAAAACATCACTGGTTTATAAATGACGGAGACAGATCTGTTTGAATGGTTGTAAAATGTAGAAAAGGTCAAGAGAAAACCTTACTGCAAATTGAGACTGGCATCAGTTCTCAGCACTAACAGGTCAGAGGATGTTCCAACTTTCCCTGGCTTTAGATAAAAGACCAGGCCCAAGCTTACAGAACAGACTGAATGTACAGGTAAATGATGGAACCCATGAGGGGCCAGTGGGGGGGTAACTAAGAACACCTCTTAGTTACCACCTGTTTACTTAGGAAAAGATAGGATGTCAGAAAGATGCTTTGATACCCTTTGCTACAATTAGTATTTGGAGTATTGGGGGGAAAGTGTATATGGTGAGTGTAAGTCAAAACCTGAATTTTAGGGGTCTGAGGAATGTTCAGTTAAACTATAGATCAGATCGGTTTATATTACATGATTTAAATAGTGGTAAGCTTAAATAGATTGTGTTGTCATTTCAAACTTTATTTTTAAATAACATTAAACAAGATAAATAAAGTGCTAACAAATATGTTATTAGAAAACCTACTTTATTAAATAGATATCTAAAGTGCTTTTAGTTTAGCTTATTAACTTCCATATTTAACTGCTTGAAGCACTGAAAAACTTTTTTTACAAGTACACAAAAAAGCTAGCATTTGAAAATCAGCCCTTCAATCCAGATCCTATAGATTATTACACATTTAAAGTTTATCTGGGATCTGAATTGATGATACCTATAGCACAGAACAGTCTTCTATCCCTAGCTTCAAGATTCCTGCAGCAGAATTGTAGGAGGGTGCAGCCAAAGGGTCCCCAAAAGGATTTGGAATGGGATCCAGAACTCAAGGTGTTCAGGTGATTTCAAGAATGTTCTTACCCCCACTCCCCAGGTGTGGGTTGAGGGAAGGGACAAATGGAGCAGGGCCATTGAGAGCTGTTTTGCATAGCAACAGCCTTGCAGCTACCCTCTGGCGTGGTCATTTAACATATCTATAGCCTTTGGCTGGTCGCTTAGATATGTTAAATAACTGTGATCATCTCTGAGCCAGGGGAATGGAAGTAACTTCCCCACCAACACGTGACTGGGGGGCAGATTCCCCCCAAGCTACAGCGCCTGCGTTGGGAGCTCGGAGAAGATTGGCTCCAGGACATGGGGCCACACCTGCCCAGACTCATGATGGCAGCCCAGTAAAGCTGGAAGGATATGAGTTCTGGCATGTGAAGCCGAGTGTGGGAGGAGTCGGAAATGAGGCTGCAGAGGAAGATTGGCGGGGGATTTAAAACCCGGACTTAGCGGCCATTAGGGGGAGAACCATGCTGCTTTAGGAAGGAGAGCCATGCGCAGCCCTGAGAAGGAGAGAACCATGCGGCTTTAGCAGAATAGGGAGGACCTCAGCCATTGGAAGGGGAGAACCATGCACAGCCCTGAAAAAGAGAACCACACGGCTTTGGCAGAGTGGGGACTCTCCCCTTCCCGCAGCCCTGAGGAGGAGAACCACGCGGCCTTGACAGAGTGGAGACTGCCGCAGCCCTGAGAGGGAGAACCACGAGGCCTGGACAGAGTGGGGACCCCCACAGCTTTAGAAGGGGGGGACCACCACCTGGTTTTAGCAGAGATCCTGGCGACTCAGCCGAGGGTGCTGGGAACCCAGGGAGGTCTCCCAGTCGAGATGGAGGACTAACTAAGAACCAGAGGACTGCCTGAGCCATGGACTTCTATTTCCTTTCCTGAGATACGGTACTCTGGACTGGGCAAAGGGGGAAGGAAGGAAGGACTGTGTATGTTTGTGGGTGTTTTAAGGGACTTTAGGATTTTTGATAAAGACATTAGGTCACTACTTTAAGTTTGTATAGCATTAAATAAACATTTCCTTTCCTTTTCACGAATCTCTGGCATTGAGAGACGTCTTTCCTCGGGCGGCAGACATAACGGACCCGGGGCCTTCTTTCAATAATAGTATATTGTCCCAGGCCCCTCTTGTTGTGTTCTGTAACACAACCAATGGTGCTGGGAACTAAGGAAGGCCTGCCAACTGAGCACAAATTACTAGGAAAAACCGAGAGCTGCCTAAGCCACGGACTTCAATTTCTTTTCCTGAGATATGGTACCCCAGACTGGCCAAAGGGGGGAAGGAAGGACCATGTGTGTTTGTGGGTATTTCAAGGGACTTTGGGATTTTGGCAGTCATTAGGTCATTACTTTTAGTCTGTGTAACTTGAATAAATAACTCTTTTCTTTTTCACCAATCTCTCGCATGGAGAGCTATAATTCTATGGCTTAGGGAAAGGTGA